TCTGTCCACTTTCAGTCAAAACTTAGATATTACTGCTTTACCCACTCTCAGGGTTACATGAGTAAATGAATCAGTTATAAGGGAAATTAGATTTAAAGTCCTCTTTGGAATGAACAATCTCTGTTTACTAGTGCAATTTGAGTATCTGGTGGAAATAGGAATGACTTGTTTAGGAAAAGAATCAGAGGGTCAGCATACCAAAAGAAAAATTATGAGGCAATAAGAGAATTTCAGTTGTAAGTACCATGGAACACAGAATTAATAAGAAAGACCACGCATGACATGGATTTCCTCACCAAGAAATGTTGAGAAATTAACAAGATTGTTTCAGTTCAAACTGAGGACAATGAAAACAATATTAAACCATGGTTTAACCAAGTGTGTAAGAATGCAAAATGCATCGCAGAAATGCACGGAGAATACATGCATGGAATGACACACCAGCAGGCATGGAATGAAATAAAAAGAATGAATAAGAAAAAGAAAGAAAATAGAATGAAGGGTGAAGAATCAATTAGGAAATGCTATAGTAAATAAAGCAAAGACCCAACCCATGCTGTTTCCCAACTACATCAGGTGGAAAACAATAAAATAACAGGTTATGAAATTCAAGATAGAGAACACATTTACAGAAACTGACAGGGAAGTATGTGAGGAACTCTACTAAAGATTCTGAGAACGGAATGATGATAAACCAAGCATCACTGGAAGACTTTCAGATTACCAGAGATGAAGGAGGCACCTGGACATGACTAAACCTGTTGGACCAGATGGTATCTCACCATAGATACTGAGAGAGGCTGCCAAAGCACTGTGCTAGTCAATTTCTATGATACTTAATATATAACTAGACATTGGAAACAGGTAAACTATCAGAAAGTTAAGAGGAGAACCAATGCATAAGAAGGTACAGACAGAAGGCACTAAATTACAGTCTAAGGTCTATTACATATATATACATCCCATGCAAGACTATGGAAAAAGTTGTAAACATAAGTTGGTAAAACATCTAGAGAAAAGAGCATTCATAACGTCACCAGCATGGGTTTAGGGATGGCAATTTCTGTCTCATAGACCTGACAATTGTATGGCAGGGTGATAGGGATCAGATAAGACAGAGAAGGGTAGGCATAATGCATTTTTTGGAATGTTATAAAGCCTTCAACACAGTACCCCATGAAGCTAGTGCACAATTTGGAGAAATGGCAGGAGTTACAGGAAGTGTTTCCGTGGTTAAGAGGGTGAGTAAACAACAGAAGCCAGGGAGTAACAGTAAAAGGAGATGCTTCAATGAGTTAAGATGTTACCACCAGTGTAACATCTCTGGGGAGTCCATTAAACTGCAGAGAAGTCCATTAAACATGGTTTCATTCAGAAGATTTGCCAGAAACTGTTGTGTTATGATTATTATTAAATTTATTTATTTATTTATTTATTTATATACAAGAAGGTACATTGGGTTAGAGAGAATACATAGCATAGTATTTACAATCTTGTAAAGCCACTAGTACGTGCAGCGTTTCGGGCAGAAAGTTATTGAGTTACACATTCAGTCTAATTGTTAATTGTTCGGGCAGAAAGTTATTGAGTTACACATTTAGTCTAATTGTTTACATAACCTGAGATCACAAAAAGAATTGTTGTGTTAGCAAGTTCTCTAACAAAAAGATTAAGTACTGATATTTGAATCAGCGTACAGTATGTCTTTTATAGTATCAGATTACCGTATAGGTCTTTTTATAGTATCAGAGTACTGTACTGTATATGTCTTTTTATAGTATCAGAGTACTGTATAGGTCTTTTTATAGTATCAGAGTACCGTATAGGTCTTTTTATAGTATCAGAGTACCGTATAGGTCTTTTTATAGTATCAGAGTACCGTATAGGTCTTTTTATAGTATCAGAGTACCGTATAGGTCTTTTTATAGTATCAGAGTACTGTATAGGTCTTTTCATAGTATCAGAGCACCGTATAGGTCTTTTTATAGTATCAGAGTACTGTATAGGTCTTTTTATAGTATCAGAGTACTGTATAGGTCTTTTTATAGTATCAGAGTACCGTATAGGTCTTTTTATAGTATCAGAGTACTGTATAGGTCTTTTTATAGTATCAGAGTATTGTATATCTGGAGCATACGTTGGAGAGGGTTTCAGGAGTTCATCTACGCCCCGAGCCCGGCCTGAGGCCAGCTCAACTTGTGATAACTTGGTCTAACAGGCTGTTTCTTGGAGCGGTCAGCAGGCCCACATATCCAGTACAGCCTGGTTGGTCTGGCACTTCTTGCAAGAACCTGTCCAAGTGCCTCTTGAATACATCCACTCTCGTTCTGCCAATATATCTAATGCTTGCTGGGAGGGTGTTGAACAGCTGTGGACCCCTGATGTTCAGACAGACCTGATTGTGCCTATAGCACCTCTACTCCTCGTTCGTTCTATTCTGGAGTACAGGGTTTAGGCATCAGAGTATAGGTCTTTTTATAGTATCACGAATATCAAGTACAGTATCAAATAATAATAATGTGTAGCCTGGCCGGGGAGGATTTACTGGGCGCAAATCCTTAACTGTAGCCTCTATTTAACTCAACAGTAAAATGAGTACTTGGTTGTAACAACGATTCTTCGCGGCGGGGATCGTATTCCAGGGACCTGCCCGAAACGCTACACGTACTAGTGGCTGTACAAGAATGTAAGAGCTCTTGTATATATCTAAAAAAAAAAAAAAATGGAATATCAGTACATATCAAAATATTGGTATCAATACATTTCAGGTTGTAAAGAACATTCTTTACCATGAAACTACCAAGTTGGAATCTTAGCACTCTCAAAAACATTAGAGACGTGTTATGTTAATGAGACCAGTCTGCAGTCTTTTTGCCGTTACTTTACTGTCTCCCTTGTGAAGTGGAGCAATGTTAAATTTTTTTTTGTGTCTACAAGATGTAGCCAGGCATTTTGTACTTCTTTATAACCAATGAATTCCAAGAATCTGGCACTGGAGTTGAGAACAAAGACATAGTCTATGGCCTATATCCTTTTCAACATCTGTGGAGGCTTGTTGCAACATCAGACACATGACTTTCAGCGAGGGTCAAAATCATGAAAACGTTCTCAGGATTTCTACTTTCAGTGTCTATATCAGTGTTAAATGTGGATTAATATTGTCTTTTCTGAATTTTTTTCATTTCTCTATTGGTATATATACTGTATATACTTCTTCCTGTATGGGAACTATACTTATCAGGTTTTTATATTATTTCTTTGCATATACTGTATAAAGCATACACGTGTAATGTGATGAGCATGTGCAGAATTTATGGTGCTGTTAAATGCTACAAAAAATTGTGTGTGTGGTAACATTGCATGTGTATGGGTTAATGGTATAATGTGTGTGCAGTCTGATATTAATGAAGGTGTATGCCAAGGTTGTGTGATGTCACATTGGTTATTCAGTACAGTACAGTATATACAAGAATGGGTCATGAGGGAGGGTCAAGGTAAGAATGTCAGAGATATAAGCCTGAGGGAGGGTCAAGGTAAGAATGTCAGAGATATAAGCCTAAGTGTATAGGCCTAATATGAGTATATACAGTATTTAATATTTGAGTCATGAAGTCACTATAGTTCATCAGTAAATTTAAAAAGCTACATAAACTACTTTAAAATTTGATTGAGGAGCACGAGAGAAGACAATTAAACAGTAAACATGGACAAAAATAAAGTTGTGTTGAAGAGAGAGAGAAATTCTGTATGAAATAAATTTGAATGGTATTTGGAGTGGCCTACAGGCTCACATATCCACTACAGCCTGGTTGATCTTGCACTTCTTGCAAGAACCTGTCCAAGTGCCTCTTGAATACATCCACTTTCATTCGAAGTGTTGGCAGTGATCAGTTTAAATACTTCACATGTGTGATTTAAAAAAAAATGAGTATTGTATTTTATTTCCTTTTAATAATTTATTTACAAGTACAATGGGTTAATTTCTGGAACAGCAGAATAGCTGTGTTGATGATGGAGTAGTATGAATATGAAAAATCTGTTAGAACCGTAGAAATTAACAATTTATGAAGTATGATTGTAGTCAGCTTACCAAGATTATTTGGACATGTAAAACAAATGGATGATGGTAGACAGAGGAAAAGTACTAAAATGAATCCAAGAGAATGAGAAGAAGGCTGGGCAGGTGTGCAGACATGGGTGAGTTTGTGAGGAAGCAGGGCGTGAGTATGGACAGTGCACTAGGTATGGTAAGGTAAAAAGTTGTGTGGAAGCAGTTTGTAACAAGAGAATAACTGCATTTTAATGAGGAATGTACACCTGGTCTTGTGAAGTAGTGGGTTGATGCTGTGGATGACTGCTGGAGTAAGGTAGTTCTTGTTTTATCCATAATCTTATATACAGTACTGTATTGTAAATTATATACCCAATAAACCGAAGAGTATTTTTAATTTTGTATTTATCTATAACTTTTTCTATTATTTACCCTTTTTCCTTGGAGACCAATACCTCATAAAATGGGAAATGGGGGTGCAGATATTATATGAAAAGGCACTAACACTAAAATACGCCTTATAGTTTCTGCATTTTTAATTAAATTCCTAGATTTTATAGACTTTTTTTTGCATGACCAAATATTATAAACTATATTAAGCACAACTGTAGTAAGTAATTAATAAATAATGGCATATATTTCATTTGATTAAATTCGAATAAGATAAAGAGCAGTTACTATGGGTAAGAGTTTGAGTGTATGACGGTAGAAAGAGTGCCAAGCTAGACGTGTGAGAGGTGACCTGGGCAGCCATACCTGGCCGGGGTAATGACGGTCATAGTGTGTGTGTGTGTGTGTGTCGTGACCTGCCATCACCCTCCAGGCTGACACCTGTCACCCCCCGTCTCATATCTTCTCCTTCACGCCCTCTCTCCTCCCACTTGTACACTTTCTCAATTAGTCAGTATACTGATGGGTGACTTATCTATCAAGTTCAAGTAAAACTTACCCATGTCACTGTATAGTACCGCGTTTTAATGCATCACAACAGAGAGAAATGTTTGACACTACACACTTCACCAATATGATTGAACCACTGATAAAACTTGTGTTCGGATCCGAGGTTTCAGTTACCGAATGCTCTCATAAAGTCACGCGTGGCAAATATATATTGTTTATATGATATTTATTACTGTTGTATTTAGCCAAATATTTAAATTTTATTGATCTTAATGTGATAATCCAGATAAGTGCCATAATAAAATTAATTTTATTGAAAATCTAAAAACAAATCGGACAGAAGAATGCTTCTGGAAAAAGCTTGTATGGTAAACACGGATGTTGTTCCATACTTTTACTTTACATCTCAGTCAAATGATCAAATATGTGGCACTTATTTTCAATTTAACGAATGCAAATATAAAAAAGCTTTAAAAGTTATTTTTTAACTATTATTTCCATGTAAACAGGGAAAAGTTGAATGACATATGCCAGCCGCACGATTCACTATGTTGTCCCGCTCACTTTACAGGACTTAATACAGCAACAAAAAATACAAAATTTAGTCAATAGGCAAAAATAGCAATGCTGTTCCGTATATGTATATAATATAATATTACCAATGTTCGTACTTTTTGTATAAATAAAAATTATTAGTATTATTTAGCTTCCCAGTATTGTCTGGGCGTTTGGGACAAGAAACCAAAGCGCTATGAAGTCTTGTTCAATAATTTTGCACCCCGCCATATCCATCCTGGGAGCGGTGGCAGAGAAGATTGCAGGGTCTGTGAGGCTAATTGAGATTCCCCTCCCCCCTAGGGCCCTACGCCAGCTGCTGACCTTACACACTAGTACAGTTGTGTGTGCTCTCGATTCACACTCGGGAAGAGGGGTTCAAATAATATGGGCGCACACACGCACGCACCCCCCCCCCCCCACACACACACACAAACAAACAACAGAGGCCGGTGGCTGAGTGGACAGCACGCTGCACTCCACGACTACCAAATTAATGCATGTCTATATTAAAAAACATTTGCCGGTCTTCTTATCATTTGTGGAGTTCATGTAGATCTCTTTGTAAGACTTTAATATCATTATCATTTCCCACTTTATCATAAATCTTTGAGTCGTCTGCAAATTTGATGATATGGTTTGTAATACAGTATTTTCATCTATGTCATTGACGTATATGATAGAAAGGGTAGGTCCCAAAATGGACCCTTGTGGCACCTCACTTATTACATTTCTCCATTCAGATTCGTTTCCATTTAGCACGACCCTTTGTTTTCTTCCCTTCTACCATTGTCCGATTCATTCTAATATTTTACCATTTATGCCATGGGACTGTAATTTCCTTGCCAGCCTTTCATGTGGTACCTTATCGAATGCTTCAGCAAAATCCATGTATACTACATCCTTCGGAAGGTCTTTGTCTGAGTAGCTGATTACCGTTTCCAAAATGTGAGCAAGCTTGTAAGGTAGGATCTGTTTTGAACAAATCTATGTTGTGTCGATTGTACAAGGTTGTTCACTGAAAGATGGTGAATGATTCTCTCCCTGAGGATTCCCTCCCTGAGGATTCTCTCCCTGAGCTTGCAGATTTGTGATGTCAAGCTGATTAGCCGGTAGTTTCCTGCTGAGCTCTTTGTGCCTTTTTTGAAAATAGGGGGGTAACATTTGCATATTTCCAATCTAAGGGGACTATCCCTTAGTTCAGAGATTTTGGGAAAAGTAGTTTTAATGGTAGGTATAGTTCTTCTGCCGGTTCCTTTAAGACTTTGGATTGGTTTCCATCCACACCTGGGGCTTTTGAGTCTTTTAGTTTGTCAATTTTCTTTCTAATTATTTCGCATGCTAAAGGTATATCCCTAAATTCATTCTCCACTCCTCCTTCAAACCCAACTACTTGGGCTGGACGGTAGAGCGACGGTCTCGCTTCATGCAGATCGGCGTTCAATCCCCGACCGTCCAAGTGGTCAGGAACCATTCCTTCCTCCCGTCCCATCCTAACCCCTTCCCAGTGCCATATAGTCGTAATGGCTTGGCACTTTCCCCCTGATAGTTCCCTCCTCCTTCAAACACTTGTGTGGGATGGGATGTCATCTGAGTCTTTCCAGTGTGAACACTGATGTAAAATAATCATTTGGAGCCGGTCGGCCGAGCGGACAGCACGCTGGACTTGTGATCCTGTGGTCCCGGGTTTGATCCCAGGCGCCGGCGAGAAACAATAGGCAGAGTTTCTTTCACCCTATGCCCCTGTTACCTAGCAGTAAATAGGTACCTGGGTGTTAGTCAGCTGTCACGGGCTGCTTCCTGGGGGTGGAGGCCTGGTCGAGGACCGGGCCTCGGGGGCACTAAAAAGCCCCGAAATCATCTCAAGATAACCTCAGGATAGTGTTTGCTGCCCTATTATCGCCCATTACAGCTTGGTTAGTCTCATCTATTAAGGGATTCAACCGAGTTCTTTGTTTTGGTTTTACCTCTTATATATGCGTATAACTATTTTAGATCTTTCTTTATGTTTTGGGCAAGTTCTCTTTTGTAGTTTCTTTAGGCTGATCTGATTTTCTGAGTGACCGAGTTTAGGGCCTTTTTGTATAACTAGTAATCAACGACGTCCATCGTATACTGTATATATATACATTCTCCAGCGGTTGCTCTTGGTTACCCCATGCTCGTTTTACGGCCAGTGTCATCCATCTAGTTCCCTTTCTTATCTTTCTTCTTTTCGGCACATATTTTTGAACGCGTTCCGTGATGACCATCTTGAAATTTTGCAATGATGCTTCCGTGCCATGTTCGCCCATCAGCTCCCTCTAGGAGATACAAATACAAATATTTATTCAGGTAAAGTACATACATACAAGGTAAGATACAAAAGTTGATGTATTTATAGATAGAGCAAGTACATACAATGCCTAAAGTCACTATTACGCAAAGCGTTTCGGGCAGATGGTTTGCAGCTCTTCTTAATCCTTGACATTTGATGGGTCTGACAACCTTCTTAGCATCAGCGTCAAGTTGCGTGATTAGGTTGCCGAAATTCATGGTCAATCTGGGTTTTAGGATATTAAAACATAGTAATTACTGTATGATGAATTATGTACACAACGTTTCGTTCCTGCCTGGAACTTCTTCAGGTGGGATCTGGTGTGTAGCATGATCAATGAAGATTAAGAGGTGGCACGGGCATGAATAACCCATAAGGGATAGATTTTTTGAAGCGAATGTAATCTTTGGTCGTGTATAGCATGTTGTTGTTGTTTTAGATTCAGCTACACGGAACAAGAAGTTCCAAGTAGCACGGGCTATGGTGAGCCCGTAGTGGACTTACCTGACACAGAAGCGGGGCGGTGCGATGGTGTAGCTTGGACGGTAAGGGGGGGGGGGGGGAGGGGATGAATAATCAAAGGAATTAGAGGTTGGGTGAGTCAGGTCGCGGGACTCAGGTGCAAGCAAATGGGCGGAATTCATTCTGCTGTGACGTCATTTCCATTGGTTGGGGTCTAGACCACATTGTTGTAGTGAGGCAAAGTCAATGTTGCAAGGGCAGGTTAGGCATTGATTTATTTTACTGAGTGTTGCCGGCAGCGGTGACGGGAGACATCTCCCGTCACGCAGGTTGCAGGCGCACCTCCACAGATCTCCAGTATCAGCTCTTGATACTGGTAATGACCCAAAAGGGCCACCACTTACGGGCTATTCATGCCCGTGCCACCTTTTGGGTGGCTTAATCTTCATCAATCAATCAATCGGCAGCGGCCACAAGTATACAGTGCACCCCATACTTATCCTGCTACCAGTAGTTGATAGTGCACCCTATACTTATGTTGTGAGCGGTAGTATATCATTCACTTTACAATAATCCTGTTAAGGGTAGTTTATGAACGAGATACTCATCCTGTGAGCGGTAGTGTATTGTGTACCCCATATGTTTCCTGCAAGTGGTAGCGCAAAAGGATCAGACTCCAGTGGATGTTTTTGCCTCGTTTGGGGCAAAAATGCCTTTTGCAGTTTCAGGCATTCCAAAGTCCTACCAGGCTGATCAAAGATCAACCAGGCTGTGACTCATACGTCAGGCTGCGAGCAGCCGCGTCCAACAGCCTGGTTGATCAGTCCAGCAACCTGGTCCCCGCGGCCTGGTCGACGACCGGGCCGCGGGGACGCTAAGCCCCGGAAGCTCCTCAAGGTAGGTCCTTATTTTTCATTCTTTCATTTTGGTGAGCTTTTCTTTATTAGAATATGAAGTTATGGCCACATAATTTTTTAAGGTAATCCTTAGTATTATAAGATATATATACAAATATATATATATATATATACAACAACATAATGCTTAACTGCATTAAGTATAAACTTAGTTCTAAACAATGTACTTTATTTAAAGTTAAGCTTTGGTGGCAAAATGTTGTTTGATAAGTTATTACTCTATACAAGAAATTACTATACAAAGAGTAAACGTACTGGGAATAATTAGTATAATAGTACAAATTATTGTTATACATATAATTATTATTATAATTGTATGCACCAACATTCCAGGCTTCACGTGCAGAAAGGGGGGGGGGCACCCACTTACAAATTCCAAATTCCCGCCTCTATCCACCACGTGTTTCCCCGCCAACACGTGCCTGTACACGTAGTCCCCCGTTTCAATGCTCTTAGTGTGCTACCGTTATTATTCCAACTTTTAACGTCAGAATCGTCTATACATTCTCTGCTCTGCCAGCCATATACAGTCGTGTTTCTATGAGCTCGTATATTCGAGTCCTAGCTTACCTTAGTCCTTACCTCGAGTCCTACCTTACTGACAGGCTCCAATATGTTTCTGTGAATAATACAATTTCTCCCACCCTACCCATCAACATTGGTGTTCCTCAGGGCAGCATACTTGGCCCTCTCCTCTTTCTCATCTACATTAATGACCTTCCAAATGCCTCCCAACACCTCAAACCAATTCTATTTGCTGACGACACAACCTTCATTTACTCCAGTCCTGACCCTCTTGCTCTAAATGCCACAGTAAATACTGAGCTAAATAAAGTCCATCTTTGGCTAACTGCCAACAAACTCACCCTTAATATTGACAAAACCTTCTACATTCTGTTTGGCAATAAATCCTCTAGTCTTATAAATCTCAAAATAAACAATACCCAAATTTGTAACAAATTAGATGGCAAATTCCTTGGCATTCTCATTGACCACAAGCTGAATTTCCAGGGACACATTCTAAATATATCAAAAAAAGTTTCAAAAACTGTGGGCATTCTTTCTAAGATCAGATATTATGTACCACGCCCTGCTCTGGTGACTCTCTATTACTCCCTTATCTATCCTTATCTCAACTATGGTATTTGTGCTTGGGGTTCTACTACCCAAAATCACTTACGTCCTCTAATTACCCAACACAAAGCCGCTATTAGAACAATATCCAACTCTGGCCCCAGACATCACTCGGTACCCCTACTCAAATCTCTTAATATGTTAGATATTAAGTCACTGCACATTCTCTCATGTGTATTATACATATATAAAACGCTAAACTATAATGCCAATCCTGATCTTAAAAGCTTCATAGAAGGTTGTAACAGAACCCATGAGCACCACACCAGAAATAAATACAGTTTTGATATTCCTAGAGTACGTCTTAATCAAACTAGAAATGCTCTGCAAATCAAGGGGCCCAGAATGTGGAATGACCTTCCCAACCATGTTAAAGACTGTACCTTTCTCAACCAGTTTAAGATAAAAACTAAACACTACCTAATAAATTCCCTGTAATCTACCTCACTCCTCTATTGTCAACCCATGTCTGTTATTTTCTTTTTTTTTTCTTTTTTTAATCAACACTGTTTGTCAACCTATTGTATTTGTGCTGCTTTTTCAGTCATGTTCCCCCCTTTTTTTTTTTTTTTTTTTTTTTTATCTTTATTTGTATTTGTTCTCAACATCTTTTATTCTTTATGCTCAATTAGTATTAAGTTCTAGATATTAATGTTTTTCTTGCCCGAAACGCATTGCGTAATAGTGGCTTTAGGCATTGTATGTACTAGCTCTATCTATATATCAATCCATTAATGTAACATCACTTGTATGTATATACCTTACCTGAATAAACATCTGAATCTGAATCTGAATCTGAATTCGCACAAGTAGGTGTTTGTTCCTTATCATTCATTGCTTTCATTTTCAAAGATGATTTCAGGCGCGAGCCCACCCAAGCCGGATACGACGACGTGTAAGGCTCCTGCTGTTTTCCCGAGCGTCACAACAGGCAACGCTGTGCAAGAATGCAGGAAAAACCCATCTGGCGGAGACGAGAAGACCCGCGGGCCGGTCTAAGGTCTACCAGCACCACTGGGAGACCTACACATCGTACGCCCGGCACACTCAACACCTGCAGTCGGTCGTCCCGGCATGTCTCTGGCAACACTAGAACGACCTCATACAACAGCACCTACACGACACCAATTTATACTCTAATTTTCTTGGCTTCTTTACCATTCATTGTCATTTTACTTCTGGAAACTTATTTTATGTAGTGCATTGGGAGGGGAATACGTATTTGTAGTGCATTGGAACAATGAAATCTCTGAATACAATATTATTGTAAAAATCTCTGTAAGTATACAATTACCTTTAATTGCAGTTGTGTATAACATTATGTAACGTTATACCAATAAAATTGTTCAGTTGTTAGCTACACAATTATTGTGACAATTACTATACTAAAACATTGTAAGATCACCTTGTGATTACTTATCCTACATTTGTAGGATTTATACATTTGTAAACATTTGTAAACAAGCATATTTACAAATGAGCTTGTTCTCAGGGTAAAGTGATTACAAGACAATTAGCCTCCATCATAGCCTGTTTCCTCCCTGCTCGCTACCCTAAGTTTCATCCTGTGTTCATTTTTGCTTTACCAAGTTATATTTTTCTCTACAAGTTCGACTTTTATATTCATGTTTAATTACGTCTTACTTATTCGTGTTTATGAGCGTTACTTATCTTCATGTTTGCTACTTTCATTTATTAAATAATTTTTCCAATGTTTCGCTCGACCTCAGAAATACTTGTATGGGCTGCACAGTAAACTATCTTTCACAGAATGAATATGGGTTGCACAATAAACTACCGCTCACAGGATAAGTATGGGGTGCACAATAAACAACCCCCTTACAGGATAAGTATGGAGTGCACATTAAACTACTGGTCACCGCTCAGGAATCTATACACCGGTTGATTGACAATTGAGAGGCGGAACCAAAGGTGTGAAGCTCAACCCCCGCAAGTACAACTAGGTGTGTACAGGGTGAGTATAGGTAGCACAATAATCACTCAATGAGTATGGGGTGCACAATAACTATAGCCGTCGCTAATGGCATTATCATACAAAAAGCAATTGCATATAGCAGTCAAATTTTAGATTCGAGTGTCAATTTACAACTAAGTTTAAGGGATATAAGTCATATCGTACGCAAGAAGACTCGCCAACGATTTTGAAACCTACCTAAAGAAGCTCAACCGAACCAAATAAAGCCTGATCTAATACATCCTAGCATAATATACACGGTTTTAACAAAAAGAAAACGAGATTCGCCGTATTGTCTCTTATCTGAAAAGACTATACCCCGTTACGAGTCGTGCATGTGTGCGTGCATACCCGTTACGAGTCGTGCATGTGTGCGTGCATACCCCGTTACGAGTCGTGCATGTGTGCGTGCATACCCCGTTACGACCCGTGCATGTGTGCGTGCATTCCCCGTTACGAGTCTAGCATGTGTGCGTGCATACCCCGTTACGACTCGTGCTTATGTGCGTGCATACCCCGTTACGACTCGTGCTTATGTGCGTGCATACCCCGTTACGACTCGTGCTTATGTGCGTGCATACCCCGTTACGAGTCGTGCATGTGTGCGTGCATACCCCGTTACCACTCGTGCACGTGTGCGTGCATACCCCGTTACGAGTCGTGTATGTGTGCGTGCATGTGGCATGTCCTGAGTACCGGGCGGGAGGGGAGCTGTGAGCGGGGGCCCGGGGGCTGGCCGGCGCCTGCTCCGTGTTCCCCTCGGCCGGCCGAGAGTCAGCTGTTCCTCCCGGGCGGCGACACGTCGTACTGCTTGCTGTCAGCCTCACAGTAGGCCCATGGCCCCATCACCACCACAGCTGCTCTTCCTCTGATAACATGGGTTAGGAAGCTGCTTCGGAACCCCGAGAAGCGCTGGTTAGAGCCCGCGGGTCCCCGCACCTGCTGGATCTCTCTCAAAAGTGAGCGAGTGAGAATTTGGGTAATCCCTGGTGCAGACTCCTTAGGCATAATCTCGGTGCAGCGAGTGACCTTGACGGTCGGGCTCTGGCTCTCGGCCCCCTCTAGCTTAAAGTGAGACCGTTACCTAGAAACACCACCAATATTCATTTAAAGAATTCCATATTCCTGTAAATAAGTGTTAAAAGTGTTATGTAAATTTTCTAGCATAGGATAACATTGTCCGGGACAGGTAGCCAGTTAAGCTACCCCTCAATAAAGGAAAAAGCCGGGCTCTCTGTACTCCACATGGTCATCCATACAGTTGGTAATTAAACCCAATGGTGCTTAACCTGACCGAGTCTTATCTATCAATGGCCACGGGTGGCAAGCCCTTTACACCTCCATCTGGTATTATATACCTGGCACCATTATTACCTCTTCACATTTATGTCATATTTTTTTTTAAATTGTGGCTTGAATTGACTTTGATGTTTTGTAAAGCATTCCATTTGCAGACCACTTGTGTGAAGGGACTTTTCCAACATGTCTATTACTTAGTGTATATAATACATTTTATGTATACATGTATATGGCCTTCAAGATGTCCTCTTGTCCTGGTTTCTCTCAATTTAAATAAGGTGCCTTGTTCACCTTGCATGTAGTGATAATTTCTCCTTCTTTTAAGATTGTGAGTTTTGTTTTTCTTATCATGTCCATGTAGCTGTGGCCTCTCATATTCTGATACTAATCTAGTTGCAAATCTTATTTTTGTCTGCTATTGTGCTTACAAGGTGCAGATTCCATGCCAGCATTGGATACTCCAACAGCAGTTTCACAAAAGCAGTGTATGGACTTGAAAGGCTTCTTGTTTTGATTTTGAACTATTCTTATGTGCACCAACTTGCCATATGCTGCCAACACTTTCCTGTTCACACAAACTTCTGGTGTTAGTGTGGCCATTAGATCCCTCCCGGGTATTATTCTAGTTTTGTTGTTGCTGCTTACCTCTGTGTTGTAGTTTCAAACTGGTCTTCTTATCTCCCTTTTCAACTTTGTTTCCAATTAACAGGGACAGGAAGGGACAGGACTTTCTTAGGTGGGCCTTGATGAATGACAAGACTTTCCCCATTGTGTAATTGACATTAGTTATCAAACTCCTAGAGGCCAGGTACCTATTTACTGCTAGGTGAACAGAGGCATCAGGTGTAAAGAAACATGCCAAAATATCTTCATCCTGTGTGGAATTAAACCCAGGTTCTTTTGGTTTAGTTGGTCTGATCATTGCAGCACAACAGCCCTCCCCAGTTTTTTATTAGTCATGCATTACCTGCACACATTGACATGTACAAATTCCCTCTTTCTGGTAGGTTTCTAATGTAAATTAGAAACATCAGTGGTCTTAGGATAGTCATGAGGGACCCCACTGTAAACAACTTGCCTTAATATATCACAGAGTATCCACCATAGGGTGGATAGTCCATTTATATTGCTTATGAGAGTGACCTATGGAGTAAGAAGCTGAGATGCACAATTTGTATTTAGTTAAGATTTATTTTGCATTGTTACTGCTTTTATGATACTTTTAGTTCAGAAGTATTTAATGATACTAAGCTTCAATTAACTCCTATTTTTTCAGGCCTTCAGTATGACTGCAACAACAAATGATAGTGGTGGTGGCTTCCTACGCACACGGCTGAGATCTGCCCTTCACTCTTCAAATGATCTGTTATCTGGCATATCTTCTAACATCTCTTCTCGTCTCTCTGTGTTCTCTGCAGCATCAGGAAATTCCAATGCATCGTCAGAAAAAACTCCACCTGTTCCTGAGAAACCCCCAAGTACACCTCCCTTACAGCTTCCTCCTAGTCCTGAAGAAAGCCATCGCTCTCCTACTATGAAGGAGATGATCAAGGTGAAGCTACTTCTGATAAAATAAAGAGAATACAGTGGAACCTCCGTTTTTGAATGCCTCTTTTTCAAATTTTTCTGTTTTCGAGCTCAATTTCTTTGTAAAATTCGACTCGGTATTCGAGGTTCGCCTCGCTTCTCGAGTTTGTTGATGAACGTATGGGTCGACCAAGTGCGTGGCGCTTCACAGTTTACCAGTGTATCCTGCCTAGTGACGACCCTGCTTGAATTCTTTGTGAAGAATTTCATTGCTTTTCTGCTTTTTTGGTTTCTGAACATAAAAGTAATGATAATACTGTATATCATGCCATGGGTCCCAAGAAAGTCAGTGGTATAAGATAAGCAAGTAGTGAGCCACAACTTGGTTCTAGTGGTATGCCTGCAAAACATAGAGGGAGTACCCCAGAAATGTTATCACTGCATGATGTTATAGTGGAAGGGGACTCCCCTTCCAAACACTAACACCTTTCCTCCTCCTTCCCCTCCTCACCGTCTTCCATATGCCAACAAGAGTCCTCAATGAAGATTAAATATACTTTTATATATTGTAGTGCAAAATATGTGTAGTATTATATATAAAATGTTCTTTTAAGTTAATATTTTTGGGGTGTGTGGAATGGATTAATTCAATTTACATTATTTCTTATTGGAAAATTCATTTCGGTTTTCAAATTTTCTGTTGTCGAACCATCGCCGGAAATGGATTAAATTTGAAAACGGAGGTACCACTGTATGTACTTCCAGTGATACGGAGAAAGATTGAGTTAGTGTAATTGCAGTACCTATCTGCCTGTGTGTATTTATGTATGAAATAACAAAATTGTAATTACCAAAGTCGTTACAAGGTGCGAGCTAAGCTCAAGGTGTCCTGTCTTCTCTATAATCTTTGTCATATGAATTTTTAACTGTTATACAGAAGGTTTTGGCCTTTTTATTTAAATTATTCCAGTCTTCTACAACTCTGTTCGCAAAGGAGAACTTTCAAGTGATTTTTGGCCCCTTTGTTTCCTGAACTTGAATCTATGGCCTCTATTTCTTGATGTCGTAGATTTCAAAAATTCTATAGTTCCTGTCTTTAGTTTTAGAAGTCTTTAGCATGACTTTACACCCTTTTTAGTTTATTGATGTACTTCTTGGTATTTGATGGTACTGTATAGTCTAGGCTCCTCTCACATCATCTTCGGCATGATTCTCTTATGACCATTTACTGTACTATCCAAAACCGCCCTAAGATTTTCTTTCCTTGCTCAAGTTCTTTAGTATCTTTTCACATAATTTATACTATAGGTTAAGTGAAGCCTATTTTGACCTATTCCATTATGTAGCATTTATATATCTTACATATACTGTAAAATACCTGTATAATAATAATAATAATATTCTTATGCCCTACTTCCCCATATTGTTTGCTATTATTATACTGTACAGCACAGTACTATAAATAATTTTTCTGTACTGTTTTTGCTTTTTCAGCAAAGAAAATGACCAAAGCTTATTTAGAATTATTTCTCTACTACTCGGGTCTACTACTACTACCAGGACTCTAAGAGTACTGTACTAGTCGGGTTCGTTCTCTATGCACAATCAAGAATTCTGGGTTCAAATCCCGGGTGGGACAGAAATGGTTGGGCACATTTCCTTTCACCTAATGCCTCTTCACCTAGCACTGAGTAGGTACTCAGGAGTTAGTCAGTTTGTTGTGGAGTTGCATCCTGGGTGGGTCAGTAATTTGGCCTGGGGGATGGGGATCTTGACAAAAGTCAAACATGTAAACACTCTGGCTTCCTGTTCCCCAACACAGTGAATTATTTGTATTTTTATGTTAGATTCTACAGGTTTTATTTTCTGCAGGAAACTTTTAAGCTAGAAAATCTACGAGAATTTCGACCAACTCTAGAAGAACTAATGCAGTCAGAATCATCATCTGAGCCATCGACACTCCCCACCAACACTCCTGAGTCACCAAAAACAGGTTTCCGCTATCACTTAAATAATTTTAACCAAGCCATTCCCAAGAAATTTGTGGATTATAAGGTAAGTTATTGATACTGGTTTGTTTCATTATACTGAAGTTCTTAAAATACAAATGGCTCTACTAAATATTTTAATGCTTATTAAGGCAAAATACTACTGTATATATATGGCTTGGCATGTAATCTCAAAATTGTTTCATATTAAAGTTCTAGAACATTCAGAAAGATTTACATAAAAAATTTATCAGTATTTTGCTCTATATGCTTGTCCTCAGGCTGGGCAGCAAGAATATGAAAACTGCAAATTGGACAAACACTGCATACAGTATATCTTTGTTTTATTCATATTACTGTTCATAATTGTAAAACTTGTAATTATAGTACTAGTTCTGATAATGATGGTTGCATCCTCAGCAACTGGCAATCAGAACCCTGAGTGGTGATACTGGAGAGGGACCACTTGATGAAATCCAAGAAATGAATGCCTGTGCAATCAATGTGGAATGTGTTGATGACAAGAAAGAGGAGAAAGATGGTAAGAAATTTGTTCCTTTATAATTGGAACATTATAAGGATTGTAATGTTCATCCTTCATCCAAACACATTCAAGGATTTGGGCAGAGTCGTACGACTTGGCCTAGTTGGCAACGCTTGCCAGGATGAATAAACATTGTTTCTGGTGTGTGCCCCTCTTTATCTTCCTGAGCTACCCACCTGAAGTCTTCCACACCAGGCTCTAATGAACCACAAGCACCTACCAGAGACCAGAACCACAATCTGGGCCCTCTCGGTACACCCATAGGGGTGTGGGGATATTAGCTCAGCCATATTACTGAAGGGATAACCACCAAAAAGGTAGAGCATGCCAATACAAGCAACAGCTTGTACAATGTTTGCAACCCTGATTTGAACTATGTATACACTTGCTATCTAGGTCTAACTGCTTGTTAGTTCCACTCCCTCACCACCAGATGGCAGCCCTGGTGACCCTAGTGGGCCTGTGCAGCGATCCCAGTCATTCACACACCTGCTCTTTGTCAGGGGGACAAGAGAATTTGGAAGGATGTGTGTCCATTTAGGTATAAAAGTCACCCCAAAAGCCTATCTGGTTGCATTAGTGGCAAGGCTAATGGAAGATACCATGAGGGTTTACTCAAAGTAAATAAAACATGAGTATGAAGAATTACCAGATTCAAAGTATTATTCAGTCACTTGCAGTTACCTGTACTGGGTACTGAGATAATGTTGACTGATAACACTTGAGTCACATGATGCATAACTGCACACACACCATAGCATCTTGTGTACAGGTTCACACCAAGCAAGCCACTCCTCATGCTTTGCAGTTTGGGTGTTAAACAAAACGTTCAAAGTGTGTGAATTTTGAATTTTCTGAAATGGCTAACTTTGAGGGTTTACTATATTGTACGCCACACAGCACTACTTATATCCTAACTTGTTTTCCCTAACCATAGCTTATCACACCTGTCTTCCCCCATAGTTTTGTTACTAATTTCACTTGCACAGATTTCCCTTTTGTTAATCATACATAAGTAGAATACTAAAACGTGCCAACGGATCGTAGCACTTTTCTCTTCCTGCCGATTTCATGTTCACAATTTCCTCCTCTTTCCGCTACATTAGCATTGTGATCAGCACAGTCAAGTCACAATTGAAAGGCCCCCGGGATCGATTCCCATGGCATGACAGACATTCAGTCACTTAGCACCTGATGCCTCTATTCACCTAGGGATAAATAAGTACCAGGGAGTTGGGCAACTGTTGTGGGTTGCATCATAGAAAAGGTTAGTAGTTGCTTAGAGTGACCACAATAAGCTTAACACGATCGTGGTCAAGTCACAATTAACTTAACCATGATAAGTTGGGGGATAAGTAAGACTTAAGCTTCCTGTCCCCAACAATGGAAACTATTAATTGACTTTTAGATAGTAGGCATCCATCAGTCTCAGGAGACTATAGAGTTGCGCTCTGTTTGTTGGTCTCGAGTGCGTTCTCCAGGGCAGAAAGCCAGGGTAGGTTGATATGGGGCACAAGCCGCCACCCATGCAGCAAGTCTTCCCCTCTCCACAGCGCCGAAAGTCTCCAATGGAAAGGCATACGCCAATACAATGGCGTTTTAGGTACATAGATAATTATCTGTAATATTTAGATGTAGCTGCATTAGCCAAGACTGTTAGTGCTACAGGTTGGCAATAATTTTTTTTATAAGAGGGTGGCTTAGTTAGATTTTCATAGTTAAATTTGTGCTTATTTGTTTTATTCTCAAAATTTTGAATTTTGTCATAGTCCCGTATTAGACAATTTTTTTGTTTACATCAAATTTGAAATCATGCACTCTTAATTGATATCACTGAGATGTTAATGTGAATTTTATTTTTGGAGGTTTCACTAGTTTTACATAATATGCAAGCAATTCAACTCGAGAAATAGGCATGGGCTAGAATAATGGTAATGAGACTTTTTTCAGATTGCATTTCTCGTTTAAGATTTACGAGTAACTGGCAAAATTTTGAACACCTAATTAGCCTAATACATATATATACAATATATATATACAAGTTGGGCTGCCTAGATTTTGTGTATAATAGCTTTACTTATCAAGCAAGCTTTAATTACCACAGCTGATGCTGAAGAAGCACGTGATGTTGTTGAGGGAGCAAGTACTTGTCTTTCCTCACGCTCTTTCAACTCGATGCACTCTCTTTATGCTACTGGTCCTGACCCCTACGACAAATTAAAGTATAGACATGGTAAGTTCTTATGGAATGGTAGTGTTTGATATACCGTAGTTGCTGTCATTGCGCAAAGTATATATATAAAGCATCATGAATTCTGAAACAGATACATCTGTGCTTGCTGCATGAACACACAGAATGAGACAGTTGCACATTATTAAATAAGTAGTATTAATCATAGAAATCACTTAATATAGATACAGTAAATTTGTTTGATAGTTCAATAAATAAGTTAATAATATACTATCATTATACCGTATATATAAAATATCTTAATTTAGCAAAATGTTTAACATAAATAATGAATATCAGACCAGGAAAATGAAGGAAGTTGAACATCACACCATGGAATGTAATTGAAATTCCTGGAAATGTTTCCAGTAACCGGCCATCCCCCCAAAGTACTGTAATTAAATTAACATGTTCTATGATTTGCTTTATGGTTATGACATCTGTAATTCCACGTCATACAAGCAATAAGGTAATGCATTTTGAATTCCTCGGCAGCTTTCTTGTTATTGAAAATACTTATATCAACATTTATTTAGGCGATCAAAGGCAGACAAGTATTATCAAGTTGTTTAAACCGTCTTGCAGTTATTGACCCTCTGTTTCACAATGCCCTCAAGCATCTATGCTATCCCTTCCTTTTCCCTTTCTGATTATATATGCACATCCTTTGTCTTTTTTCTCTGATATGCTTCATGGCATTCTCATGGTGCCTTTATGTCCTCTTCATTCAAAATCAGATTAATTTTGTGCTTAAATTAATAACATTTAAGCAGTTTAAGGCTGTTGGTAAGTTTTAAAGTAATGATCAATAGCTTTATTTTAGCAAAAGGGTAGAGCCATATACATAGTGAAATCTCCAATCATTTCCTGCCAGCAAGAGACAAAAAAAAAAAAAAAAAGTAAAAATGTCTGGAGGGTGATACTGCTGTCCATGTGGACGTTCTGCAAAATCATATCATGTACTTTCTTATCCGATCTATAAATCACTGCACTATTTTGTCTCAATCTATTGAGAACAGTTTGATGTAATTCCACTGCAGAGATTACATTATGTATGTTGCTGGCCTAAATACAGTACATACTACAATATTACTAAGATACAATTCCAGCACAATTTAATGACTAACTCTAAATGTGTATATTAGTTGTTTAAATATAAAAACAGATTCTGCTACATTACTACAGGGTTCTAATGATATGTTTGAATGTACTGTATCTATATAAAAGAATTAATATAATGGAAATACAGTACTGTATTAGTTTCCAGTGCAATAGATCAAATGGCAAGACAAAGTAATCGATCTACAGTAATCTCACTAATCTTAAGGAAATGGGAGAAAGTGAGGAACCTGACCAGAATGGAGTTATTTATCTATGCTTAAAACCTTGTGGTTGAGCTACTTCACTCTGTCACTCCCTTTGGCAAGAATAACCACAGTAAGAGCTAAAGAGAAGAACAACCCAGTAGTACAGTAGTTATCTGTTCTCTAGAGTAAAGCTAGAGAACTGTGACTAAAGAAAGGTCAAAGGAAATGATGAGAACTGTGTTTCCAGATATGGAAACATCAGGCAAACAGATCCTGTGCTGAGTAATAATTTCCGAGAAGACAGATGTTCAAGCCCAACATGCTAACAGTGCAGACTGTGAATTAAAGGGAAGTAACAGAACACGAATGTACAGTTTGTCTTCCAAAGCCCACAAACTCAAATATCAGCACAGGACAATGCAGAGAACACCGAGTGTGGTGAACGTAGGCATATCACAGTCACAGGCTGATTATTTCACCCCTCTACAGAGTTACTGAGACAACTACACCTTAGTTCAAAGCACCATTGTATATAAACTAAAGAACACAGAATCATAGTTCTTCTTGAAAACAAAGGCGGAAATGGTTCTAGATGTACTGTAATCAAGTTTAAGTAGTACAGTAATCCCAAATACAGCAACTGGTAATTATATACAGTACAGTATTTTAAAAATATTTATGATCAATAAAAATTAAGTACCATGAGCATTGTGCTACTCATGTAAAAACAATGCAAATGGATAATCGCAAATATAGTTGCTAATATCACAAATATAATATGATATACTGTAATATAATAGCATATTACAGTATATTTGATATCAAATATAATATGATAATCACAATTATCACAGCCGAGTATAAGCATCATGAAAATGTGTGGATGTGGCAGACTACACAACAGATGCTGTTACTAGTGCACAGGTGTGGGTGGGAGATTCAGGCCAACACCTGGCCTGGTCTCTCATTTGCACCTGCTCAGTTTTCCCAATAAATATAGCTGGCACAGGACGTTATCTCCCCTTGTACTAAACTGTGTCTTACATAAGTATATTTATATTGACATTAAAGGAAGCACGTGGTGTCAAGTGTTTTTTTTAAGATGGATTCCTCAGGGGAAGGTTCTGGTATGTATTTTTGCTGAGTTTGTGATGTTTTTCTCAATCATGTTACAATTATAGCAATACTATGTACTCTTAGTAATACAAGTAAAATGATGTTGGGTTTGAAATCACACTGTACAGTACTGCACGTTGAAATATTTAACTAGGGTTTGTTATAAAAAATAAAACATGTTGAATGTATTTAAGTGCCTGTTTCTGGCAAGCAACTCAGTAACTTCCTAAGCTACAGCACTGGAGTTACCAAGCCTTAGATATCACATACCAGGTCTCTGCAATCCACTTGAGCCTATTGAGAGCGTAGGCAAGAATCTACATTTTCATGCATTGTTATGAACTACTAAACAGTTCTGCTGTGTGTAATAATCTTATAACCAGTAATTACTTTTCAGTTTAGCTCCCTTGCCTGCTTTGCATGAAGTTGTAACTGCCTGCACTAAATATTATTATTTTTTTCTTTATATTTTTAATAGTCTTACCATTTTTTCTTTCAAGTGCAATGATGCATTGGCTTGTCAATGTTATTTGTATCACAATGTGTAGAACAGATACTTAGATATATTTGTCACTAATATGTGCACAATATATTCTTTGAACAATAAACCAAATTTTTTTTGCTGCTATTACACTGTATCCATAAATTATACACAGTATAACTATCTACATTTTTATATACTTTAACCACTAAGCAGTTCTGGTGGTTGTGGTAATGTCATAATCTAAGTGAAGCATTGCACCACATGCTAGTCAGTTGCCGATAGCATTTGACACAGCAAAATGCCTTCTAATATACTACACATTACTAACATTAGCCACAACATTGCTGTTTTTATTAGAATCCTGGTCACTAAGTCCTGAATATGAATAATTTACCACACGTTCATTTTCTAATGGAACTTGAGGTCCCTTTTCATGATGCATAAACTCGCCAAACTGCAGCTGTGTGTGCTGTGAATGTCTCCCTTGTGCTGTGAACATTGTAACCAGAATTGGGTTCACCGATATTTCAACTTTATACAATACATAGTTTTTATCACAGGATTGTCTCTGACACTAGTATCATTAAATAATCCCAGTTACTTATTTATTTCATCATTATTAAGTGTTGCTTTGGACACAAAATGCATGGCAGTGTTGATAGCTGCTGCTGCTGCATGCATCACCAGTCGGCCGAGCGGACAGCACACTGGACTTGTGATCCTGTGGTCCCGGGTTCGATCCCGGGCGCCGGCGAGAAACAATGGGCAGAGTTTCTTTCACTCTATGCCCCTTTTACCTAGAAGTAAAATAGGTACCTGGGTGTTAGTTAGCTGTCACGGGCTGCTTCCTGGGGGCGGAGGCCTGGTCGAGGACCGGGCCGCGGGGACACTAAAAAAGCCCCGAAATCATCTCAAGATAACCTCAAGATAACCAGATCACTCATGAGTGCCCTCTCAGTACTGAGGCCTCTCACATCCAGGAGGGGTGGCCATGATTTTTTGGAAGAGGTTTATTGTAGGCCTGAGAAAGCAGATGTGAGCCTCTTGTACCCACAGGAGTTTAAAATCTCATGCAGTACCCTAAGACTTCCCTAACCACGTCGCTCACTTTACAGATAATTATTGAGATCTTCCCCTGCCGTGGCATGCAGAGGAAGAAATAAAAAGTCTTGCACTGTTAAGTAAAGCCACTCACTACTTGAGAGATGAAATGACTTAAGAGGAGTTGCTTGTACAGGAGGAAACCTGAACCATGCAGAGAAAGTAACACTGGTTTGATAAGGAAAATGTAAACCAGCTCCAGAAAATATAAGTAACACAACTGGAGCAAAAATTTTTAACATAGAACACATCTAAAGCGGGTGGCAGAAATTCTGGGTCACCAGGACCAAAATCTGGTGGCTTTTGGTGGATCATGGAAGGGGAGGGGGAGGGGGAGGGGTATTTCCCACCACCAATTTGGCTAGTTTTTCCTTAGGGTTATCATTTGCTTTGAAGCAGTTTTTTTTTTTTAGGCACTTAATTCCTGGCAAACTTTGCTCAACCACTTGGGCTGGACGGTAGAGTGATGATCTCGCTTCATGCAGGTTGGTGTTCAATCCCCGACTGTCCAAATGGCCAGGCACCATTCCTTCCTCCCATCCCATCCTTAATCCTTATCCTGACCCCTTTCAAGTGCTATCTATACCTGTACTGTATAGTTGTAATGGCTTGGCACTTTTCCCCAATAATTCCCTCCCTCTCTTTACTTAGTTTCAGGTTGAACTCTAATCTCCAATAGAATGTCTTGTCTTATAGAATGAGTCAGATTCTGTTTGTGGTTCTCAGTATGCTAAAGGATCTCAAAGACCTTGTGTCATCTCTAAGGCTTTTTGGTTCGTGCTGTAGGTCGGAGAGCAACTGAGGGTGGAGGGTGGGCCCTCCCAGAGCAATTATGAGCATTATGTGATTAATTATTTTATCTCCACATTACTATATTTAATATATCTATTTTCCTGTATAACACTACAAGCTCATAATCTATTTAAATTTTTGTTTACTTTGCAGATATTATCAGCAGTGGAACACCGAGTGATGGCGAGGGTTTAGGTCATTCGACAAGTCTAGACTCGACTGATTCTGATCCTCACAAAAAGCTGTGGATCAGATCAGGTTTGTTTTCTCTCTTATATTATACCAAAGAACACAAAATGAGTCTCACTTTTAATCCAATTTAAATTATTATTAAATGCTTTTAATAATAAATCATTTTTTCCACTAAATGCTTTTCACTTAGTAATAGATCCAGATTTGATTTAGTAGTTAGGAATGAACCTTGGGGATATAGTTTGGGATTGTCACATCCTACCACTAATGTCCTCAGCTTGATGCAAAATACCTTACCTTTGACATAACTAGATTAGCACTCTTCAGTACCAAATCATATAAGAAATTTTCTTTTAAAATGTTTGGATGGATTCCTCATGGGGTAATAATATGCATAACACAGCTCAGTTTATGTGGGTGGGGAGAAATGCTGTAAGAGTATTTGGGATTTTGTAATAAGTTAACCTTTCCAAGTGACTTGGGTGTTAAACAATCATTATTCTTGATGTAAGGTACAGTACAGTAATAGCACGGATTGGTAATGGAGTTGGATAATAATCAGCCGGCTTAACTTTTCACTTGTTGTACAGATTTAACAATCAAGTCACTTCTGAAAGACAATGAGAGTAATGTATTCATTTGACACATTGGATTACAATTTTTTTTTTAATTTACATCCCTAGCTTGCATCTTTAACCACTGCACCTGCCTTGGTCACCTGCCCGAAACGCTTTGCGTAATAGTGGCTTTAGGCATTGTATGTACTAGCTCTATCTATAAATCTATCAATTTTTGTAAAACCTCTTGTATGTATGTACTTTACCTGAATAAACATTTATTTATTATTATTTATTTATTAAAGACCATTCTGTATAATACTGATCTTTGTGTTGTTCTTGCTGGTAGAGGGCTTATCAGGTAAGATGGGTTTATCCCAATATTTCTAAAAAGAGATCCCTACCTTTCTTAGTTCATGTTTCCTCCAAAGACCTGCTCGGCATTTTTTAAACTGAAATGTCAATGGCTCTTCATCAACTTTAGTGTACTAGAAATCCTAGTTTGCAGTTCTCATCTTTAATGTATTAAATTCAGAGTAATATGCTAAATTATTTGTATGAAAACTTAGTTTAATTGCAGTTTAAGTTAACACTAAATTGCAGTAGGATTAAGGGATGGATTAAGGTACAACTTAAGGTTTCTAGTACATGGTTTTTCTTAAGATCAACTTTTACTCCACTAATGACAGTGTTAGTTCCTTTGTTATGGTGTGCTATACAATATGCACCTACAGTAGATCTGTTTAATCTACCTGTCTTGTTCAAAATTATTACTTAATTTGGTAAATGTGCTACTTTTGCCAAAACCATTTATGCTATAGGTTTTCTCCCTTAAAATTCTTTAACCATAAATTGTTCAAGAACTTCTTATGCCCATTGCTCTATGATTTTATTACCAATTTGGATTTTCAATAATATAATTGATATTAAACAATAACTTGTTCAAAGTTTTTGTTTTGTCATTTAGAGAACAAGATTATTTTCCTATAAAATAATAAATGAAAGTGAAGATTATTTTTGTAATAGAATCCCAAAGAGTGAAGCCCTTTCTGCCACACGTCTAAAGTGAAATTTTATCCAAGTTACAACATAGTGCTGCCGATGTAATGCTTGGCCACAAGTCCAACTCTGATCATATTAGCAGTTTAACATTAAATGATGCTCCCCTTCAGCAATTATGTCATTCATGGTTATGTAGAAATATAACAAAAAAGTATATGAATAGACATGTGGTTCAGAAACAAGTTTGAAATTTATGTTTTTCTTACCAAGAAATTTGAATTTTCAATCTTTCTCAATAATTTAAGATGTCTATAATCTCCATTATGCATTTTGAACATTTGTCTTTTTTATTATTAAATTTGTTCATCCTTTAGATTTTTTTCTTATTGAAAAAACTAACAGAAAAGAAATCTGTTGTAGATGTAGTTTTCAACTTGCTTTTTATGACTTAGATCTAAGATCTACTCAGCCTATGCAATTATGTACCATAAACCTTTTTATTCTGGCTTTGCTTTTCTTTAAGTCTGTCCATGTTCCCTACAGATCTTCCATAGAATAGTTTTTTATGGCACTGGAAGTGACAAATGAATTTTGGAGTTTATAAATGTTAGAGAAGTTTTTGCCTTTTCAAAATTCCAAGAATACTTTGTTGTATTTGAAATAGAACATGTGGTTAATATTAACTACACATTCATCTCAAATAAAAATTTACATTTAAAAGTTTTACATACTTTATTAGAGCTTTTAAGAAATTATGAAGTTTGCTTAACCCTTTCCCAGCTTTAGCTGGAATCGTCCGACATGTGAGAGAGCCATTTCTATGAACTTTAAAACATTTTCTAGATAGTTTCCAAATTTCTTAAGTTTTACCAAAAATCTGACTGTCAAAACAGGTGGCAGAAGCAAACTTCACACAAAGTGGTAAATAAAAAGAAAAATGCACCCTCACAATTCTCCCATATTCACACCATTTCTAAGCCGTTTTATATAAAATAGGTATTATATACTGTTACTTTGTTTTGTACATTATGACATGTTGCATAAAGCTGATGTAAAGATGATGTACTGTACATATAATTATGTATCCAAATTTAATTTACGAGCTTGTAGTTAACTAAATATGGCTACAGGATGAGAACTAAGCACACATCATCCCATCTTCCTTATAATTTATGTCATTCATAGTTTTTAAATGTCCAACAGTGCTGGCACACACCACCACCTCATTTAGTTTATTCCATCCATCTACTATTATGCAAGAGAATTATTTTTGTTTTTATTTTTTCTGTAATTTGCACCTTTGTCCTCTTCTCCTTGATGTTGCAATTTCCTTTTTTTTTCCTTTTCTATTACATCACTAATCCTCATAATTTTGTATGTAGCGATTATATGTTTTCCCCCATTTTTTAATATTCATTTGTGTATTATATCATTTGTGTATTACATCAACACTGCTCATACTTTTTATGTAGAAATCATATCTCTTCTTTCTGGGAAGACCCCATTAGTAGCTCCCTGAGTTATGTGCCAGTTTAGTCATGTTTTAGGGAGAAGCACCAGGCCTCTGAGGCCAACCCTTGCTTGCTAGAAGCCAGGAATAGAATCTGGCTCATTCTATGATGCGAGAAGAGCTTGAAGAAAAACCCAAACCACCAAAACCAGCAATAAAATGCTGTGCCATTGGTTCTGTCTTTTCCACCAAGCACTTTATATAGTTATGCCAGCCCAGCCTCCTAAAATTATAGTACTGTATTTATAGTAACTCTTTGGACAAAAGTGCCAGTATTTAGTGATGAACCACCAGCAAGTTGATGTTTTCTATTATTTAACTTGGCCAAATGGGAAACATTTTCAACAGCAACATAAATATAGAACCTAACCTAACCTCTTCTAGCAATCCTAGGCCTAATACTGTCTTGGGCCTGTTTAGTATGTGTGTGGGTATTATACTAGGCCTAGGAATGTTTAAGTTTGATTTTTAGCTTTATTTTTTCTGGACTATATAAAAATACAAGAACAAAAAAAAACTATTTGGTGGTCCATCATTACATATTTGAACATTCGAGCAAATAGTTACCGTTAAGTATTCTGCTATCATTTCAAGAAGATTGGTCGAGTTATACTGCTGTACTGTTCACAACAAACTGATGCACAAGTGGTTTACTCAGAACTTAAAGCTTTAGTGTCATAAATGGATTACAATGCAATATTTTAGCCAGATATTTGGCCATTAAATATAAGAATGTAGAAAACAGATAATAATTTTAAACTTATATGTATATATTTTAAAAATATATATACAGGATTTGTTATTTCTTTCCAATGAATTTTGTGATATGGCCATTGTTACTTGTAATACATCAATGTTCTATCAGCTTTTCTGTATAGATAGTTAAGTGTTAGACGATTAAACATTTATGTTTAGAACAAATTTAATATATCTAATATTTCTGTATAGTATATAGTTACTACTGTATATAGATTTTTCACTTTTTGTGTGTGATAGATGAAGGAAAACCTTTTTTTTTCTAAACATACAAAAATATTATTACTACTGTATCCATTTTCTCTTCTCAAATTTGTGTACATATCGGTTCAATGTTGATACCATTAAAGGCTGTTTAAACAATACAATTTTCTTTTTAAATTAGGGTCTCAGACATCCTTGCAGTCTTGGGCCTCCAGTCTGTCATATGATAGTCAAGCAGAGGATTTCAACGAGCCGAAGGAGTTCATGCGAAAGTTTGTGGAAGAAGTGTTTAAGACGCCTCATGTCATTGATGTAGACAGGAAAGCACGCTTTGGAGAGCTGGCTCAGGTGAGCATTTGACATCTTTACAAAAATCATATACAGTACTGTACTGCACAGTTGGAAATACAGTATTGTACTTTGTAGGGTATTTTTAAACACAATCTATTATGCTTAGAGCAAGAGGTTTCACCTTATGAAACTATTTAGCATTAAATCCAAGAAGCATCTTTACAACCAGATATGCACCTTAACATTTAAATTATATATTACATCATGTATATGTATATTCATTATGCAATGTAATACATGGTAGTTATTAATATATCTCAATATTGGAGAGTAAATTAGTTACAGTATACAATCCAGGAGCTTGAGATGATTATAATAATTGTAATAGGTGATCTGAATGGTAAAGTGGGAGTAGATCCTGAGAATAACATAATAGGCTCTAATGGTGTCCCAGAAATAATTGATAATGACTACAATTTAAGCATTTGTGCAGTGAGTGAGTTATTAGTAAGATACAGTATTCGAAACATAAGGATATTCACAAATATATATGGTACAGAGTAAATAAAATTGTACAGAAAAGCGTGTATGGCCTTGGATTCCTGGCTTGTTCCCTAGTCATCATGACCAGGTGACTTGTGTCCTATGGCTTTGCTTAGCTTCACCTGGGAAAGTTCTCCGTTTCCCGTAGCTTGGACACTGATTTTGTTGGTCGGTTGCCTCGGGCTGTGTTCTCCCGATCCCAGACTGTGTGCACCAGCACCTGAGTGTGTCCCAACTTCATAGGTTTACCCAGGTGTGCTGAATGTGTGCCAAATACTTGGCACACATTCAGCACACACATTCAGCATAATATTCCATACTTGGCATCAACTTAATACAATTTATTTGTATACTTCTTGTTCTAGTGTTTAAACAGTTGCTGTTCTCCTTTGCCCCATCTTTTTGCCCTGTGTGTCTCACTCTGTTCTGTCTCCAATCATGTGGCTTTGGTCCCCAATGGTGTTCCTTGGCCTTTGTAATTTCACCCAGATTTCTCTCAGCTGGGTTCCCATATTTCTGGGCATATTCTCTGGTATCCTCATTCTGATAGTCCTGCTGCGGTCTCTCCTCTGTTGCCCAGCAGTGTCTGTATTTAGAGAGTTGGCTGGCTTTGGGGGGGTACATTTGACTGTTCAGCAATTGTTGCCCCCTCATCCATTCCTGGCTTTTGGGTGGATGCCTTCATACTCCATGTGTCCTTTCTAGCCTATAGGCTTTGAACCCACCCACCCTTTCTCTGGCTGGTGGTTGCCCGGGACTGGGCTTGGGGTGTCCATAATTGCTTGTCCTTGCTTGATGCTTGTCCATAATTCTTCAGGCCAGGCACCTTCCCTGATCTTTGCCCATGGGTGGATTTTATCTAGGTCCTCTTGTGGTAGTTCTAAATTTCTAGTTCCTTTGACTCCTGAGGGTGTTCTCCTTGGAAGACACTGTCCTTTGTTTTGGTGGTTCTAATACATTTTTGCACCTTCAGCTCTCCACTTAGATCTTTCCTTTGGACTCTCATTCTGTATCTAGTGCTCAGGCTCTGCTTGACTTTCCTCTTCTGTTGGGTGGGTGTTGTTCTCTTCCAAGTGTTTTAGTTATACAAATATTTGTCCATGTACCATGACAATCTTGTAAACAAACGTTATTAATTTACAATGTAGCTCAGATGCATCGTATACAAGATATTTGAACATTAGTAAAGTGTCTAATTATAATATTTATGTTTGTAAAATTATGTTCCCTACTTCAATATAAATTTGTATTAAAATAGAAAAGACATTTTTTAAGCAAGTCATAATAGAGCAGTGTATATCATAAAAAGATGTAACTTTTTTCAAGAATTATAACCGATTTGTATTTATTTCAGACCGAACATGGTAGATTGTGGTTTGCACGCTGCATCAATGCCAAACGCTGCTGCAAGTGTGTGTCTGAGGCTTCTTTCTTCTCCCTCATCCAGCACTTCTCTGTCATGTTATTTGAGTGCAACGAGGCAGAAGACTTTTCACCTGCCAAGAGCCTCATGAATATGTGCTTTACTTATTACCATGAAGGTTTGTAGCCGGTGTAAATATATATTGTAAATACATATTAATTACAAAGGCTTCATGATGCTTAATGTTAAATTAATTTGTATTTATTATTATAATATTATATATACATATATATTATTATAATCACACACACATATACACAGTATATATATAAATAATATACATACATAAATAAAATACAAGGCAGACAATGAGTCACAATGGCATGGCTGAAGATATGATGACTAGACCACACATCACAAAGTGAAGAAAGTATGTTTTGGTCTGTTCTGAACCATTATCAACGACTTTATAATGGTCCAGGACGGACCGAAACATCATGGCTTGTTCACTGTCCCTTATCTCTTCTTCTGGACTGGATGCTTTCTGGTGGTCACTGGAGGTACGAGTTCTTTGCCATATTTCTTTTGGTTTGTTGTTGGATCGTTTGTTAATCCACTTACTAGTTCGATTCTCCAAGGTGTGGACCTCTCAGGTACAGCAGATTTTGACCATAGGGAGCAACTGAACATTGCTCAGAAAGGAGTTTTATGGTTACTTAAACCCTAATATATTTCTATCTGTGTAATATCTTACCAATTGTTATTTCATGTTAAAGATTTTCAAATTTACTTACAGCGATGACACCAGGAGGACAGAATCGGAGTAAGGAATTTCTTTATTCCTATCTCCGGCAACAGCCAATCTGGAGATCCATACGCTTCTGGAATGCTGCCTTTTTTGATGCCCTCCAGTGCGAGCGTTCCCTTCGACCTGTGGTGACTCGAGAAGAAGTGGAGAGCAATAGGTTACAAGCCGTAACAGATGAACTCCATTATCAAGAGAATATCACCTTTGGCCAGCTTGGGTATGTCCACCATATAGAAGTTGCTTTAACGTCTTCACTACTGCAAACTCGTGGGGTAGTTTTTCCCTTCCCATCTTTTAATTTTGGTTAAATGATGTACAATATACATATATACACCGGGTAACGAAAGTCATTCCAGAAATAAGTCATCTCTCGTAACAGGAACTGTTGAGGGCCACAGGGCTAACACTGCAAACTAGGCATGACTGGGTAGATCTCATTGAAACTTAAAATACTGAACAATTTGGAAGATGTTGATCTTGACAATTTCTTCCAAAGGTCAGATTTAACACAAACAATGAGCAACTGTTTCAAGCTCAACAAACCTCAATGTAGGACTGAGAACATGAGATGCATTTTCACCCACAAGGTTATAAACCTATGGAACTGCCTAACCGCCCAAAGCCACAGATGCCACAATAGTTAGGTTTTAAAATCCACCTAGAAAGGATCATCAAGGCAAATGTGGGGTACCTTTGACAAGCCACCAGCTTCCTGTCCTCATCGAGGCCACTAGTCTTAGCGGCCCTTGGGTCAATGAGGTAAATTTGTGCAAATTTTATGAAATTATTTAATGATTTTTCTGCTTTTGCACTTTATTTTATTCTTTTTACTGAAATATAATACTGTATACAATACTGTATAGACAAAAAGAAAGGCACTCAAAATTATTGATTAGTTAATACTGTACGGCATATGCTTCATCTCTTGGTTTAACATACTGTACTCCTTCCATGTGCTTATTGATTTCATCTCTTAGATAAATTATTTCATAAATAATTGTGTATATGTACAACATAATTATTACATTTTACTTTATTTGGTTTATTACAGTACTTTCACATGCAACATGCATGCTTTTGGTCTGTCTAAGGAGATGGTAAATGAATTCCTTCGCAAGCAAGTAACCATTGCTAGTCTTCGACCTGATCAAGTCAAATTGCTCCGTGACAATGTTGAACGCATGTACAGTGGAAAACAGGAATGGCCATAAGTGGTAAGTGTTAATAGATTAGTTAAGTTGTATGTTGTTCTCTTAGCACACACACATCCGCATCAAAGGCATTGTGCTTTTTTTTTAAGTTAGCATTTGTATTGTTGATGCCTGTGAAGATAATCAAAATACTATGCTGTATTACCACCTGAAATTTGCCCTTGTTATTTTTAAGGGTCACATTTTATAAATATCTTACCTTTAAATTGTATATATGGAAACGATGATGATGATTATACGAACTCGCTATATCGTCAAATGTTCGCTAAAAATACTTGATGATGGATAGAATGTTTTAATTACAGATGCGAGTCTCGTCAAGGACATGGATTAGAAATTTACCTTGAACAATACCAGAGTACACTTGTAGCCATAGCTTCCCTTTATGTGTATTCACTGAAAAGCATTACAAAAAATAATGGCACAAATGTAATGAATAGGATACATCAAGAAAGACAATACATAAAATCTATTGTAATTTCTGTATATAAAGTGTAAAATCCATTGAACAGAAGCAGGATTTTCAAAGAAAGTACAGTATTCATGAATTATAGTTATGCATGTTTTGTGATTTTATTCTTCACAAAATGCAAACAAAACTATTTAATAGTTTTAGAAGCAAATTTTATAAGGTATGATCATATTTTATGCATACAGGTACAGTATATCTGTTCTATCTCAGTTTGCATAACCTGTTTTTCACTTAAATTATATTTTTGAAGACTTGTTCCCTCCTGGAACTCGACAAACTTGAGAGTGGCTGGTATTCACAAGTACAGTACCTGGTATACTTGTCAAGAGATAGGCATGCTGATATGGATATTGTAAAGGGCAAGTATTTGATAATTGGGTGCACAATTTTTCAAATTTCAATAATCAATATTCAATGCCAATATCCTCTTTGGACTAAAATTTTATTGAATTTTCTATGGTAATACTACTAGATTGGTCCCAAAGCTAATGTTGGATTCTCATTAGAACATGAAACAACAGCCAGTGGGACTTTCATTCCCTGATGCAGTATTTGTCTTCAAACAGGAAATAGGGTAAGGGAGACACTGGAGATTCCTCTATTGAGATTGGGACAGACTTTCTGAAGATTTGTTCTTCTATTCATTAAAACTCTTCAGAGCAGTACTCTGTCCCAAATAGACCACTAAGTACTACTATTAAGTGGTTTGAGTATATCTTGAAACCATTGGTTTCATGTGCAGTGGGCTTGTGCTCTTACATGGACACCTGTTTATGTTCTGTATACAGTTGCTTGCCTCTTGAGTGTTTGTTAGCTTGTTTCGCAGAGTTATCTTCTTTGTTAGTTTTGTTAGTGGTTGAGCTGTGATCATTATTCTGTAGATTTAAAGGCTGTGACTCCAGTTCCGAATTTCTTTAATACCTCATTCCTTGGAGGAAGGGAATGGTGTGGGGCTGTGTGGCCAACTCAAGTGATACTTAGAGGTCTGTTTGAGGTCTGTGCTTGGAGTATATTCATGGCTGCATAGAGAAACCTCCAGTAACTTTGTTAATAGTTTGGCGGGGCATACGAAAACACCACATCTGCGTCAGGTAATAATTATTGCACTGACTTGGCTGTTATGTGCCCATGTTCTTTTAAGAGTAGGATTATTGCTCAAGGGTGCAACTAAGTAACTGTTACAAAGATGCATTTTCTTTACATTCACTTATTTTTGTATAGTGTGGTGCAAGAGAATTGTGTTTTTTGTTTGCGCTAAGGGTGACAAAAACTGCCACACTAAGCCTATGTTAAGAAATAAAAAATCAAATAGTCATAGATGGAAAAGTTAATGAAATTATGGTCTGAAATAGTAATGAGATTTTATCAAGACTGAATTATTAGGCATGATTTTAATATAAAACTTGTAAAAGTGCTATTGAACAGTTTTGAAAGTTTAATTGAGGAAATAAAGAATTGGTGTGACATCGAACTTAAGAATATAGCTTTCAAATCTCTCAAATAATTCTCAAGCCCACAATAGACAAGGTGCGTCGTCTCGTCAGCTGTTTTTCTTGCCTGTGTCTTTAAGGACTAGATCCGTAACTGATATTGTTGTGCTTGATACCACATTTATTAAAATTTAATATATATTGGGTATTATGAGCCAATTGCTTTACTTATACTGTATAACTAAATCACTTTGCAAAATTTTCTGGTAACATATTTAACTGATGCTGATCATTTTAGTCAAAGAATTAGCATTGAAAACAGGCACTGATAAAAAGAAAAAAATGGAGAAAAGTGGCCAATGCATCTTGCTGTATGGTAAAAGTGTGATGGGAAATAAAGAACATGATAAATGTATATCTTCGATGTCTTCTTCCATGCATAAAAAATAATCGTATCCTATAATATTGAAGGGTTTGACAGTCTGTAGTTTAGCCCTGTTTGCCCCTCTTCCATCCCAGTATTGGTGATAATTTTGTGATACTCTTATAAACTCGTGCAATATTTCCAAAGACTAGGTGCCGTGCTTCGTCAGCAGCACATTTTACCGTTTTGTTTTGAAATTATATTTTTGTTACTAGTTTCATTTAATAGTTTTTAAAAAGACTACTGACAAACATTTTTGAAAATGGTTGTTGTATATGATTTACTAACTAAATTTGTTTTATTTGCACGAAATTTTACGAATGTGATATGTTTTGTTAATTGGTTTTCATGACTAGTCTTGTTAGAGGCCTAATGTCTGAGATCAATTTGCTGCATAATGTACTTTAAAGATAGGCCTTAATTATTATACACTTAGGTTTAAGGTATTTCCATCATTGAGAAGTGCAAAGCAGATGTTGCTGCTTGCACTGTCCTCTTAATTATTTTTGATGCTAGTAAGTATTCATGTTGGTTATAGTGAAAGCATGAATTAAATGAGGTAAGTTTTACTAGTGACTTCCCTGGTTATTGACTTCTATACATGTTTAAAAGGCATTACTTCTTTATGAATATACTGTGTTTATGTGTTACCTTTAAGGTCAATAGTCTAGTCTGCCCCATATACAAAGTGTGTGAGATTGCTTATATGCAAGACAAACCTGAGATAATCTTTGGGCTTTGGATATGTCATGGCTTGAGCTCTATTTTTTGGAAAATATTTATTATTGATGTGCCAAAAGTAATCATGTAACATTAAATCCTGACACGTTATTTGTACTTTAATAAAATTTTATTATAGAATAGCATAGAGTACACTAGTTTCTAAACACCTAATATACACAGTAATATTTTAAAGAAAAATCTGGTCTAAATTCATTGGTAGAGACAAGGGGGGGTCAGACATTTTGAACTGGTTATAAAATTAAATTGTGATGCTTGAAAACTTATACTGTAAAACTAAAAAAAAACCAGTGGAAAATAATTATTGATAATGCTTTTTAATATTGACTTGAAAGTAATATTGCATTAATCTTTATATCTCAGTGTAAGAAATATTGCCTTTTAAACAAATGACCTATTTGTAGATTGTGATTCAGGTGATTGCCTTTCCTAGATTATGTCATGAGCTATTTGGATAGTAATTTTTGAGACTTTCAAATTGCTGAATAAAGGGTGTACATTGATTTTGCCGTAACTATGCAGTAAAGCTGTGACCTGCACATATTGATACCAGTACATTAATAAAATCTTAGTGCTATATTTGAGCACGAACTTATAGATAATTACTGTATTGTACTTGATATTATTACGAGACTATTGGTGGCGATATCCTGTAGAGGGGGTTTACCAGTACAGTATATGCTGAATGATGACAACATGAGCATCCTGGTTCTGTGCATAATAACACTTGTCTTGTCCCTTCAGTAGTGCTTGCATCTTGGTATTTTATGCACTTTTCTCTATTGTCATTTTGTCTGCATGTCAATACATTTGTCTTGTATACAGCTCATAGTTTGTAAAGATGTGTTCCCACATCATTTGTTATACTCACACCTGCACATTTATCCACAGTTGGGTTGCGGTCACTTGTATTTGCACTTTCCTTTCTAGTTTCTATGATAAGCTTTGTAATTCAGTGTATGCTAAATTAGTTGTTCTATCCTTATTTATTCTAAACATTCAACCATACCTTCCAAGTAATTTATCTTTAATAACCAATTCCCATTTTAATATTGTACCTTTTTATTTATTATTCTGCATTAATACAACGTATAAAGAAATTCATTATGATTCCTCACACATCAAAGATGGCATCAACTCACCACTTCACTAGTGTCTTGCTTATCTTTAGTGTTTTCTTCCTTCAACTATAGGCTAATGTTTTTACACTGTTGATGTTTAGTATGTTCGCGTAGTTAAAGCTCATTTTGGAGAAAAGTGTTATGCACCTATTGATTGAGGGTTTAATTGAATACAGTATACATATGTTATAAACTATATGTATTGTTTCTGATGCATCCGAATGTCAACCTCTCAATCAAGAAAAAAATATTCTAGGTAGGAAGTAACTTTATGATAACAGATAAACTCTACATATTGTTTACAGAGTAATATATTTGACTCCTGTTCAGTGCACTCCTTGAAGTGCACTGAACAGGTAATATGATTCACCAAATTATGTAGTCTTATAAAGTGACCTAACAGGCTTCCTCTTCCTGATAAGAAACCAAACCGCTGCTCTAGTACAGTATTGTCAAACTATTTTAGTTGTCTTTTACACAACTAGTTGTGTTTTAATTTTGTAATTCATTTCATTTGTACATTATGCTGCCGAAATATCAGGAGACCATCTCTTTCTACAGTATATGTCCATAATGTGCCATAATGGGAATTTATCAAAATGACAAAATACTTTTTATTCATGTATTTTTTCTAGAGATTAAGCTCTTATTTCTGTCAAAGTTACCAATTCTTCTTAAAACACTGAAAAGTTAGAATTATTTGCCTTACAATTTTGCAGTTTAATGGTATGGAGCAGACTTATTGTTTTCAGGTGATGAGGTGCATTATTTCTGTTTAACACTATTGTACTTGTTAATATTTTCCCCATGTAGTACACTGTCATATTTGGTACTGTACAAAACTTGCTGAGCTGTGACTGAAAAAATTAATTCTCTGATCAGTAAAGGCATGTACGTTGGGACCTGCCAAAAAAAAAAAAATCATCTTTTTGTCAAATTGAATATGTTGACCAGACCACACACTAGAAATTGAAGGGACGACGACGTTTCGGTCCGTCCTGGACCATTCTCAAGTCGATTGTGACTTGAGTCGACACAATCGACATTCTTAAGTCGACACAATCGACTTGAGAATGGTCCAGGACAGACCGAAACGTCGTCGTCCCTTCAATTTCTAGTGTGTGGTCTGGTCAACATACTTCAGCCACGTTATTGTGACTCATCGCCTGCAAATTGAATATGACACGAGATTCTACTTACATACCGTCTTTTAAAACAATAATTATTGTGTGTATGGAGAACTGAACTGTGTGTGTGTGTGTGTGGCTGCATCAACCATGATCGTGTTGCAGGATTGTTAGAAACATTTTGAGGTAAAGTACTCCTTAACAGTTGTGTATGGTGGTGAAGTATTAGTATCATATGTTAATGTTTCAAAGTAATCTAGTTTTCTGTGTGATGTTAAATTCTGTCTTTTACAAAACAAACTCCCACAGTAAGTTTACTTTTTATTATTTCAATCTAGATTTTCTCCAGATAAATAAAATTGTCGAGGGAAGTGCTTTGAGACCCGATATGTTGGCAAGTATTTTAAAATGATACATGACACACCTTTTTAAAATGATACACGACACCTGTGTTCTTTACTGTACTGTACTAGTCATTTACTCGTGCTCCTTACATCCACTCCCCAATTTCATGGGGTGGGAAGGGTTCCACCTGGAGCAACACGATAAATACTGTACAGTACTATAATAAAAGTAGGTTGTTTATATTAAAAACATAAAAAATCACTTATCTTTGTTAAAGATTGCCTAGTCTTTAGACAGTTTGTGATTTTATCCAGTAGTGTTGTGAATACAAGCAGTTCAATAAAAACTTGTGTGAAAATACAATAGCTAATCTAATAAGTTTTGAATAAATTTATATGTGCTTTAAAATGGTAAATGGAAATGACAATGTTCCTTGGATGCCTTTCAAGTTTAAATGCAAAGAAAGACAAGGATATCACCTTGTTTAAAATTTAAAAAAACTAAATTGTCTACACAACCACTAGCAGGTAAATGACTTTTTATATAGCAAAATAAAATGTACAGTATTTGCATTATGACAAATGGCTTGAATTTCTTTGCAATTTTTCAATTACAGTACTGTATAGACAAAAAATTCCAGTAAATGTGGCATTAAATAGGTATTGGATATATTGAGTGTGATAATTTGATAACTCATTGTGTTGGGGGACAGGCAGCCAGGATATATATACATGTTAGGCTTATATCGAGGTCCCTCCCTCCTTCCCCCATGGTCGAATTAATGACTCTCCCTAGGAAGCAAGCTCACAACAAGCTGACTAGCTCCTGGGAACCTATTTACTACTAGGTGAACGAAAAAAAAAAGGTGATAGGAAATACACCCAGCCATTTTTGTCTTACCTGGGATTCAAACCCAGAATTCTCTATTGCAAGTCAAGACTGAACCCAACTGTGCTACGAGAACATGTGATGTTAGAAAATAATGGAAGATTGATTTGCAGTATGTAAATAAGTGTAAGAATAGAAAGATATTAAGAATTGTGTGTGTAGGTATTAAACAAACACATTGGTGAGAGTAGTCAGGTGAAACTGTTACTCCTGACAGTGGAGAGGTATTCAGGGCCATTGAAAGATATGTTAAGTGTGATCTAAGTGATATACAAGTGTTTAGAGTTAAATACTGTGCTGCAGTCTTGTGAATGGTGCATCATGTACATTTAGATTTAGAGGATAGCATAACATTATGGTTGCATGAACTGTACATTATCGTACATTAAGAAATGTACTGTAAATTCTCAGGACTGGATATTACATAATATTTTCTTCACAACCAAATACAGTTTCTACAAGCAATATTACAGCATTTTATATTGTATATCTATAAATCTGTTGCTGTGAAAGAAGAGCATTGCATTTAGTTTCTAAATGTCAAAATGTTATTACTAGTGTTGAGGAATGTTGTGGTAATGGATTTGTTCAGGATGCTTGATAGTCTTCGTACTCCTCAGTCAATATATATATATACAGTACTGTATGTATGTGTATATATATATATATATACTGTATATATATTGTATGTATATATATATATTATATATATATGTATGTGTGTATATTATATAATTATATATATATATATTTATATATATTATAGTTGTGTTTTTATTTAAAATTATTTAAAATGTTAAATGTTGTATGTATATGCACTATTGTGCATGCACAATATTTACTTTTTCTTTATGGAAAATGTAGCAAATTGTGCACAGGATGTTGTATCAAAGTGTTTTCCACTGTGAAATCTTTGTGTATACAGTACATTATTTTCATGGACATTATTAAGAAAACAAATAACTTTGATGAGTCTTAAAAACACTGAGTGATTATTTGTATTTGGAGGTTAAGACTAATTAATAATTTACTTGCATCTGCCATTGTTTAACGATGACAAAGTGATGAGGTGAGAATAACTTACATTATTATTCTATCGCTTATTTATTTTTTCACAACTACATTAATTACAGCCCATCCTCCAATAATGATACTGTAGTACTTATAGCAACTACAGTATTTGGTAATACGTAAAAGAAGTGGAGTATTAGATCCAAAGAGTTCATGTTTTTATATTACTGTATTACATTAGCCCAAATAACATAGAAAATTGAAAGTACCTAAACAACTTAATCTAACCTGCCCAAGCAATCTTAGGCCTAATTTAGCACATATGTTATATTAGGCCTAGGAATGTTTTAAGTCATTTGCATGCCCTCTACAAAGTTAACACAAAACATGAACATTGTTGGCTTTAACAATTCAGCTTTGTATGTTCTACCAAATAATTGCCAGTACTATAATTTTATGATGGATCGAGTAATTGGTATATATACTGTGTACAATACTGAGTACAAAATAATACACAGTATTGTGTATTGTTCTCTCCAGGACCTCTTCTGTCTGGCACACATGCCTAACTGATCATGACATTACTGTCACATTTCTTTATATATATTATAGCATTAAAATTACATTTTTCAGTTTAGCTTTGTCAGTTAAAATTTCTCATTAATGAGTAGAATTAAAGTGCCATTTGAAAGTAAAATCAAAGTAATTTAATAATTTTTTTCATTCACTTTTATATTATATAGAAACCAAGGATTTACAGCATCTTAAGTTACACACTACTTACAGTAGCATAAATGCAGAATGCCATAAATAACAGGAATTTTAATGATGCTTAAGTTCTTTTCATTTTTTCACATGGCTTGCCTCAAGAGCATTGATTAAGCATTATCATAGAAGGTAAAGGGATACAAATTTGTAAAACACTTGTAGTATTTGTGCGTGTTTCTTTGGGCATGCACACGCATATGTTATGGCCTTGCTGTTTTGTATTTGAGTAGACATGAATGGGACACATCTTTTATGTGATATATGATGGGCATGCGTACAGGTTGCAAGTACTGTACCTCACTATGCCGAGTGCCACAGTTGTGTGGGCATCCTACAGTTTACCTCACTATGGTGAACAAATATGACTGTACATGCAAAGCTAGAATAATTGTGGAGCTGCTCTTTAATTCCATTTCCGAAAATATTGTTTTACGGTAATAAAACCTTATTAATCAAATTCTTTGTTGAACTGATGCCATAACTCTCCAAACAGGTAATACATCATGCTGGTTATAATATATTGGCATCATATGTAGTTACTGTATTTAGATTTCTGTGGCAACCTGTTTATTAATAAATTCACATTTTTAATAATGTTCAGGCTGTTTGTTTACTGCACAAGGTATAATTCTGTTTCCTTGAAAAAGTTCTTGTGTTCATGATATACTAATTTCGTGATTATAGTACTGTAGTAGTAAAATATTGTAATTTATTGTTTTTATTAATGATACTTTTATGTTTCTGCCTGTTCTTGTCTGTATACTGAAGATAAATTAAGTTTAAATTTACGTATAATCTTAACCTAGCGACATGTACAATAAAAGAAGAAACGACAATATTTCGGTTTGTCCTGGACCATAATCAGGTCTTGTACACAACTTGAGAATGGTCCAGGACGAACCAAAACGTCTTCGTTTCTTAATTTTCTGATGATGTGTGGTTTAGACATTATATCCTCAGCCATGTTGTGACAGTCTGCATATGTACTCTACAGTATACACAAATATAAAACAAAACTGGTATTGTTACATTTGTATTTAATATATTTTTTCTAGTAAAATATTAAAATTTGGTAATTATAAATATACAGTATTAAAATATTTTCAAGCTTCAGTCTAATATTATTAATGTGCAGAAGTAAATATGTTTTTCAAGCATTATGTATAGGACTTGCCTTACTCCTACACAGGTAGTGTACACAGGTTCTCTCCCAGTATGAATAAATTATAAGTTACCAAATAAACAAAGAAAATTGATTATTGCAAAAACATGTGCACTTTTAATGTTAAGAGAGAGAAAATATAAGTTAAGATTGCTGACAATGTTTTGATACAGAAGTCCAGAGCTTTTAAGACTTTCAAGCAATACACATTTAACTTATCTGGCATTGCTGTATAAAGATGAGCCAAACTGATCTTTGGAGCAGTGTTATATTAGTGTGGTGTGGGGGAATGCATTACATGATGTGGACAAGGATGGATTTTATATACAAGGATTACAGTACCAAAAAATATGGAAGTGGGCAGTTCAATACCTAAGGCAGTCCTACTGTATAAATGTGTATTTTTAAAAGTAATTAACTTTAATTGAAAATAACTTGAATTGACTCTCACACTACACAGTCGCTGTGTCCTGTGAAGGATGTGGGCAAGGGTCGGTCGTGTCCTACGAGGGGTGTAGGCAAGAGTTCGTTCTATGTTGTGTTGTAGGTACAGTATTGTTTTCAAAAACTGCTCTTTTTCTACTTTCCTCTCAATTTCACAAACATTCAAGAAATATATGCAAGATCATTTTTATTACTTTTCCATGATTCTCATTACAATGTACTAGAGGTCTGATAATTAGGAAATAGCATGGTAGAAATCCGTCCCATAATCTGACATTCACAAGATAAATATACTATCCAAAAATAGTAAGAGGGGGTTTGTTATTAGAAGTAATGGCAGTTTCTAAAAATTTTATATTTATTAAATCCATTTCACTTCACAGAATTGCTCAGAAAAGTAATTAGAATTTAAAAACTGGGAAATTCTATTTTCCGAGTTTAACATTCCTTATTCACCACAAATGTTCTATATTTTAAGTACAGTAATTTTTTTTTATTTTGTTACTGTACTTATCAATTGTTGACAAAGTTGCATTCCATATGATTATAATAATGATTATGAAGTCTACAAAAGTTATTTCATGAATAGTTAAAAGAATGTAATGGCTATTCATATATTAATAGAAATTTCCTCCTTTGTTGACAATCTTCAAATATTTACAAAAACATTTTGTTGATCTTATCATTGGCCTAACTGCTAAAGGCCCACTTCAACTTTTGCACACTGTACTAAAATCTGAAAGCGAGATGAAAACCCTCTGTTGATGTATGAATTAACATACTGGTAGTTTTAAGTATTGTACTATATTATGATCTGAATACCAATTTGTGGTCCATTATTCATGTTGAGCTTGAGATGGGTCTTAAGGAGTATGACGATTAGCAACATATCTCGCAGTAAGGCAGATATAAGATATTGATGCAAATTTTATTTTCAGACTAATATTCTTACAATCACATACTACAATCATTGTTATTGTTGAAATTTGTAGTTACTGTCTAATGCTATAATTAAAATAAAGCATTGTCTAATCCTTTGTCTCATTTTGACAACACATCTATAACCTTATGCAAAAATATCAGACCATATATACAGTACACTATGCTATCCATTTGTCATTTGCAGAAATGTTTTCATTGAAGGAATAGACATTTTGTCGGAATCATGAGCTCATTTAAGGAACAAACAGTCTGTCTAATTACCAAAGCTGGGGCGCCTGACAGCTGGGTAGACAGCGCTTTTGATTCGTAGTCTTGAGGTTCCGGGTTAGATCCCTGGTGGAGGTGGAGACAAATAAATAAATAAATGTTTATTCAGGTAAGGTACATACATACAAGAGATTTTACAATAATTGATAGATTTATAGATAGAGCTAGTACATACAATGCCTAAAGCCACTATTACGCAAAGCGTTTCAGCCAGGAAAAACATTTAAGACTAAAACTTAATTCTAATTGAGTTTAAAGTATAAAATGTGTTGAGAACAAATAAAGATAAAAATAAAAAAGGGGGGAACATGGCTGAAAAGCAGCACAAATACAATTAGGGCGACAAACAGCGTTGTTTAAAAAAAAAAACAGACATGGGTTGACAATATAGGGGTAAGGTAGGTTACAAGGAATTTATTAGGTAGTGCTTCGTTTTTATGTTAAACTGGTTGAGAGAGGTACAGTCTTTAACATGATTGGGAAGGTCATTCCACATTCTGGGTCCCTTGATATGTAGAGCATTTCTAGTTTGATTAAGTTGTACTCTTGGAATATCAAAACTGTATTTGTTTCTGGTGTGGTGCTCATGGGTTCTGTTACAACCTTCAACGAAGCTTTTGAGGTCAGGATTGACATTACAGTTCAGCGTTTTATATATGTATAATACACGAGAGAATGTGCAGTGACTTAATGTCTAACCTAATGTCTAACTTAATGTCTAACCATAGTGGCCTCGTAGCCTGGTGGATAGCGCGCAGGACTCGTAATTCTGTGGCGCGGGTTCGATTCCCGCACGAGGCAGAAACAAATGGGCAAAGTTTCTTTCACCCTGAATGCCCCTGTTACCTAGCAGTAAATAGGTACCTGGGAGTTAGTCAGCTGTCATGGGCTGCTTCCTGGGGGTGGAGGCCTGGTCGAGGACCGGGCCGTGGGGACACTAAAGCCCCGAAGTCATCTCAAGATAACCTCAAGATAACATATTCAGAGATTTGAGTAGGGGTACCGAGTGATGTCTGGGGCCAGAGTTGGATATTGTCCTAATAGCAGCTTTGTGTTGAGTAATTAAGAGGACGTAAATGATTTTGGGTAGTAGAACCCCAAGCACAAATACCATAGTTGAGATATGGATAGATGAGGGAGTAATAGAGCGTCACCAGGGCAAGGCGGGGTACATAATATCTGATCTTAGAAAGAATGCCAAGAGTTTTTCAAACTTTTTTTGATATATTTAGAATGGGCAAAATGCTTCTTTCACCCTGATGCCCCCATTACCTAGCAGTAAATAGGTACCTGGGAGTTAGACAGCTGCTACAGGCTGCTTCCTGGGGATGTGTAACAAAAATGAGGCCTGGTGGAGGACCGGGCCACGGGAACGCTAAGCCCCGAAATCATCAAGATAACTTTAAAAAAATATACTGAAAGCTTCCTAGCAATACATAAGTAATGAAGAAATCTAATATATTTACTCACTATATTGTTGGTGTTGATTGTAGAACATGAAAAAACATTTTTACTCAAATAATATACATTTATAACGAATTTAGACGAAACTAAGTGGAATGAGGCCATAGGAAGTTAACAATCCAAGCGACAGTGTTGTGGAGCGACTTGTCCAAGATGAACAAATTATTCAAGATATATTGTTGCCTAGAGGTTATATTAAATTATGTTTGGATAGGTTAGGTTATTTTTGGGTAGGTAGGTACAGGAGGCTCATATGCCAGCAAACATATCGACTTGCTTTGGCATCACCAGTTTTTTTTTTTTTTTTTTGAGAGAGATGCACAAGAGTAGTTACATTCTTGTACAGCCACTAGGGGTCCGTCTAATTACCACAAGCTACACAAGCTTCACAAAGCTTCCTGGCAATACGTTAGTAATGAATAAATATGATATGTTAGGTTAGGTTGACCTAACCCAATCTAACCAAACCTATCTAAGGATACGAACCCATGACCAAGCGCTCGCGGAGGGTCAGCAAACACTCTCCAGGCGACCATATATCTTGGATAAGTCGCTCCAAAAAATTGTCGCTTGGACTGTCGACTTCCTATGGCGTCACCTCCCACATATTTACTTCTAATTTCGTTATGACATTAGATTATTTCAGAGTAAAAATAGGTTTGATCATGTTCTACGTGTAGCACCAACATTATAGTAAGTAAATATACCATATTTCTTCATTACTTGCGTAATGCTAGGAGGATTTGGGTACTTTTGGGTAGATTTGGGTAATTCTATGGACCGCTGCGGGTCGCCAGGCGAGTGTCTTACCACTGCACCACGGAGACTGATATTTTCGTCTACACACAAATCACAATAGCGTGATGCATCAAATGAACAAATCTTCATTTGATGATTTGAATCCTCATCACGGCCCTTGTGGATTTGTTTATTTTTTGTCTAATTTCGTTATAAAATATTTATTCATTACTAACGTAATGCTAGGAAGTTTGTGTAGCTTTGAGTAAATTTGGGTGGCTTTGGGTAATTAGACGGACCCGGAACAAAGGTGAATGTTTGATCGGATTCTATCACATTAGACCAATTAAGAAGTTATTGTCAGACAAAATTGCCTGACAATCTTAGCATATCTTAGACTACAATTTATAGAATGCTTTTAGAAACAAAATGCCCCCTCCAGTGCTACCCTTTGAAGAATTATTGGCAACTATAGCAACCCCCCTCCCCTCCATGCAATTTTAATGAAGTCTGAAATCGGGAATTTGTTTTGCATAGAGTTTTACATTTACGTACACTCCCCCCCCCCCCCTCCAATTTGATCTTCCCCTACCCTCTCTTCCAATCTTTTTTCCTTTTCCCACCCTCTCCATCTCACGTCCCTTTCCCCTATCCCCGCCACTCCTCTCGTGTCGTCAACCGTCTCCAACTTTCCACACTTTCCCTTTCCAGCCCTCTCCTCTCCCATCCACTAACCCCTGTCCCCGCCTCCCCTCCCCCCGACTGGCCTTTGACCCATACGTGTTATTTTTGGAAGTTAGGCGAGGCTAGTCCCAAGCACCTTGGACAGACAAGCATTCTATATTTTTATAATTTTTATGAATATTATAGATATAATTATAATCTATTATATAGATTCGAGGATTTCAGTAAAGATAAAGTATATACATCAGGAGGTGACCCCCACTCCTCGGTGTATATACACTGAGTGTTTAGTCTTGGACTATGTTAAGGACTAAAGTATTCTTGTTAGATGGTCAGTAAGCTATCGTGGTTGTCTTAACCTTTTGTGTCGTTTGCCCGAAACTCTGTGCGTACTAGTGGCTTTAGGCATAGTATGTACTAGCTCTTATCTAGAAATCCAACATTATAATTGTAATTCAATTTTAATGCATGTACTTTTACCTCACTAAACATTATCTTCCAGAGATTGATAGGCCTTGAGCCCAACACCAATTAAATCGGTAAGAGTGCTGACTGCTGAACGAGATTGGAGTGTATTATTGGTTTAATTGCCGATTTATGATTAACTAAGAGTCGAAGGAAATTTTGGGCTGTAGATCCAGAGGATCAGAAGCCGTAGATATGGACAGATGAGTGAATAAGACATAAGAACATAAGAACATCATTTATATATATTATAAACAACAGAGGTCCCAGGACAGAGCCTTGAGGCACTCCACTTACAACATTTTCCCACTCTGACTTGATTCCATTTATACTAACTCTCTGTTTCCTTTGGTATAGCCATGCCCTAATCCAGCTTAATATAGCACCCCCAATACCATGAGACTCTATCTTTTTAATCAGTCTTTCATGTGGCACTGTATCAAAGCTTTGCTAAAGTCAAGGTATACAACATCGCAATCCTTACCACTATCAACTGCCTCAACAATGCTAGAATAAAAAGATAACAAATTTGTTAAACATGAACGGCCATTTATAAAACCATGTTGCGACTCAATTATTAATTTATGTTTTTCAAGATGAAGACGAATTTTATTTGCTATTATAGATTCGAGTAACTTTCCCACAATAGACGTTAGGCTAATTGGTCGATAGTTAGACGCAAGTGATCTATCTCCTTTCTTAAAAACTGGTATCACATTAGCAACTTTCCAAAACTCTGGCACTCTGCCTGACTCTATTGATTTATTAAATATGGTTGACAGTCCTGTTACCTAGCAGTAAATAGGTACCTGGGAGTTAGTCAGCTGTCATGGGCTGCTTCCTGGGGGTGGAGGCCTGGTCGAGGACCGGGCCGTGGGGACACTAAAGCCCCGAAGTCATCTCAAGATAACCTCAAGATAACATATTCAGAGATTTGAGTAGGGGTACCGAGTGATGTCTGGGGCCAGAGTTGGATATTGTCCTAATAGCAGCTTTGTGTTGAGTAATTAAGAGGACGTAAATGATTTTGGGTAGTAGAACCCCACGCACAAATACCATAGTTGAGATATGGATAGATGAGGGAGTAATAGAGCGTCACCAGGGCAAGGCGGGGTACATAATATCTGATCTTAGAAAGAATGCCAAGAGTTTTTCAAACTTTTTTTGATATATTTAGAATGGGCAAAATGCTTCTTTCACCCTGATGCCCCCATTACCTAGCAGTAAATAGGTACCTGGGAGTTAGACAGCTGCTACAGGCTGCTTCCTGGGGATGTGTAACAAAAATGAGGCCTGGTGGAGGACCGGGCCACGGGAACGCTAAGCCCCGAAATCATCAAGATAACTTTAAAAAAATATACTGAAAGCTTCCTAGCAATACATAAGTAATGAAGAAATCTAATATATTTACTCACTATATTGTTGGTGTTGATTGTAGAACATGAAAAAACATTTTACTCAAATAATATACATTTATAACGAATTTAGACGAAACTAAGTGGAATGAGGCCATAGGAAGTTAACAATCCAAGCGACAGTGTTGTGGAGCGACTTGTCCAAGATGAACAAATTATTCAAGATATATTGTTGCCTAGAGGTTATATTAAATTATGTTTGGATAGGTTAGGTTATTTTTGGGTAGGTAGGTACAGGAGGCTCATATGCCAGCAAACATATCGACTTGCTTTGGCATCACCAGTTTTTTTTTTTTTTTTTGAGAGAGATGCACAAGAGTAGTTACATTCTTGTACAGCCACTAGGGGTCCGTCTAATTACCACAAGCTACACAAGCTTCACAAAGCTTCCTGGCAATACGTTAGTAATGAATAAATATGATATGTTAGGTTAGGTTGACCTAACCCAATCTAACCAAACCTATCTAAGGATACGAACCCATGACCAAGCGCTCGCGGAGGGTCAGCAAACACTCTCCAGGCGACCATATATCTTGGATAAGTCGCTCCAAAAAAATTGTCGCTTGGACTGTCGACTTCCTATGGCGTCACCTCCCACATATTTACTTCTAATTTCGTTATGACATTAGATTATTTCAGAGTAAAAATAGGTTTGATCATGTTCTACGTGTAGCACCAACATTATAGTAAGTAAATATACCATATTTCTTCATTACTTGCGTAATGCTAGGAGGATTTGGGTACTTTTGGGTAGATTTGGGTAATTCTATGGACCGCTGCGGGTCGCCAGGCGAGTGTCTTACCACTGCACCACGGAGACTGATATTTTCGTCTACACACAAATCACAATAGCGTGATGCATCAAATGAACAAATCTTCATTTGATGATTTGAATCCTCATCACGGCCCTTGTGGATTTGTTTATTTTTTGTCTAATTTCGTTATAAAATATTTATTCATTACTAACGTAATGCTAGGAAGTTTTGTGTAGCTTTGAGTAAATTTGGGTGGCTTTGGGTAATTAGACGGACCCGGAACAAAGGTGAATGTTTGATCGGATTCTATCACATTAGACCAATTAAGAAGTTATTGTCAGACAAAATTGCCTGACAATCTTAGCATATCTTAGACTACAATTTATAGAATGCTTTTAGAAACAAAATGCCCCCTCCAGTGCTACCCTTTGAAGAATTATTGGCAACTATAGCAACCCCCCTCCCCTCCATGCAATTTTAATGAAGTCTGAAATCGGGAATTTGTTTTGCATAGAGTTTTACATTTACGTACACTCCCCCCCCTCCAATTTGATCTTCCCCTACCCTCTCTTCCAATCTTTTTTCCTTTTCCACCCTCTCCATCTCACGTCCCTTTCCCCTATCCCCGCCACTCCTCTCGTGTCGTCAACCGTCTCCAACTTTCCACACTTTCCCTTTCCAGCCCTCTCCTCTCCCATCCACTAACCCCTGTCCCCGCCTCCCCTCCCCCCGACTGGCCTTTGACCCATACGTGTTATTTTTGGAAGTTAGGCGAGGCTAGTCCCAAGCACCTTGGACAGACAAGCATTCTATATTTTATAATTTTTATGAATATTATAGATATAATTATAATCTATTATATAGATTCGAGGATTTCAGTAAAGATAAAGTATATACATCAGGAGGTGACCCCCACTCCTCGGTGTATATACACTGAGTGTTTAGTCTTGGACTATGTTAAAGTTAAGGACTAAAGCATTCTTGTTAGATGGTCAATAAGCTATCGTGGTTGTCTTAACCTTTTGTGTCGTTTGCCCGAAACCTAGTGGCTTTAGGCATAGTATGTACTAGCTCTTATCTAGAAATTCAATATTATGTTTAACTCATTTTTAATGCGTGTACTTTACCTGAATACACATTATCTTCCAGAGGTTGATAGTCCTTGAGCCCAACACCAATTAAATTGGTAAGAGTGCTGACTGCTGTCTGGGATTGGAGTGTATTATTGTTCTAATTGCCGATTTATGATTAACTAAGAGTCGAAAGTAATTTTGGGCTCTAGATCCCGAGAATCAGAAGCCGTAGATATGGACAGATGAGTGAATAAGACAAGTGTTACTAGGGGGTAGAGCGAGGTACATTGTATCGGATTTTGGAGAGAATGCCGATTTTCTTAGAAACTTTTTGGTTATATTTTAAATACGGCAAATTAAATCCAATTTGTCGTCACTGTGAACACCGTGGAATTTCCTATCTACTCTATTCTCAATTTTTGTACTGTTAGTGGTAGCTCGTAGAAAAATAGAATGGAGGGACTGTCACTGCTTCACACAACAGTATAATAATAATATTAAAAAAATATTTAAACGAAGGACGTTAATAAACATATTTTATACGTACTATAAGTCCGTATGGGTTGTCATTGTCAGGATGGTGGAGGTAGACAACTGAAGTGCTGACGTAACAAGAATAATTCAGTGACTGAGCTGCACTACATGCAGCTCAACGTTGCCCGATGTAGCGCTGGTAAATCCTACAATAATGTATAGCATGAAACCTGTATAGCATGAAACCTCCATTTTTTACTCTTATTAATTAAAATGTTCAAAATTAGTTATAAATATATTAAAAATAACAGAACTTTTTGTTATGACACATTTGTTAGTTTGTAATTTTTCTAGTATGAGGGTGATGGAGTCATACACCTGGCAGTGTGTTTCTGGTTCAGCAGCTGCTATGGGCGAGCCGCCATTGGCAATGTTCATTTTCAGTTCAACTTAATTGGTAGACGTTTTTCCAAATAATATGTAACACGTTTTTTAAAAGTTCAAAGTGACTGTGGCAGTGGTCAACTATATAAGGGAATTTGTTTCAGTTCAACATTCACCGTGTAAATTTGAATGTCTTAATTGTCAATCAACTGGTTCACCAGTTAATTGACAGTTGAGAGGCGGGACCAAAGGGCCGAAGCTCAGTCCCCGCAACCACACCTAAATGGCTTTGGGGGCGGGATGAGGGGTTGTTGATAATAATAAGTGGGTTAGTAATTGAGAAAATAAAAGTTATTATCAGGAAAGAGAATTTGCTTCAGGTGTTGCGTGGCATTTTGTAGGACATTGATATTAAAGAAAGAAGAATTGACCAACTATATTGCCTTTAGGAACGTCAGTGTTAAGTGGGAGAAGGAGCATCGCTGTGCCTGTCACTGGTGAGATCGTAATTATCAAAAGAAGGCACCAAGGAGCTAAATATCACTGAGAATGGCAATATGAGTGAAATACATAAGGCGAGGGATATCAACTGTATTACTCTCACCAAGGATTTTTTGGCGGCCTCTCAGGTAAATTCATGTTAAAAACATGGCGCCGCTCAGTATAGCATCCACCACGGCCTGTAGTCGCAGGAGTTAAGAGGCTGGTTGATCATACACTTATTTTTGTCTTATTATTATTATTGACCGGCTTAGGTACCCACAGCAGGCTAGGTTCAGATATTGATTGACTATGTTTTTTGTGACCAATTGATTTGGTAAGGAGGGTGATGGGGACCAGAAATACAGGAAATGTAGGATGAGCATGGAGATTGAGTGGGATGTAAAGTTTAGTGGGCCATCCACTAATTTGACTTCGTAGTAGTAGTGTTACTGGTTTGTGAGCTTGTTGTGGTGTTAATTGATCAATCAGTACATCAGCTAGACTGGCTGGTAAGTTTTGGGCTGCTGCCTTTGTTCTGGCTTCTTGTGTGCCGGAGACTTCGGGTTGTTCAGTTTCCCCGAATATCGAGGTTTCTGCACCACTTCATTCCCAAAGGTTTTTGTAGTCTTATTTTTTAGTTCAGCATTTAGCTTGTGTTTGCAACATTGTATGTATATATTGCAACTATGATTAACAGTGTTTTTTTTATTCTATGTGCGGAGTAACCACAATGAATATTTTTTTACAAAATTACAAGTTGTATTGTTTTATGAAATTAGAGATACTTTAGCATGTTTTTCCTTGTGGATATGTTTGTATTTAGACATTATCATCTCTCATCAAGAAATTATCTTATCTAGACATTATTATCGCTCATCTAGACATTATTATCCCTCATAGAGACATTATCTCTCATCCAGACACTATCATTGCTCATCTAGAAAATATTATCTCATCTAGACATTGATCTCTCTCATATAGACCTTATCATCGCTCATTAAGACATTACAATGCCTCATCTAAACATTAATATATCTGACTTAATCATCTCTCTCATTTAGATATAATCTCTCATGTAGACTTGTCATATCTGATTTAAACATGTCATATTTGATTTATTTAGACATGTTATCTCTCATTGAGACATATCGCCTCTCATTTAAACATATCATACCTGATTTAGACATATCGTCTTATTTAGACATATCATGTCACCTTTGCTTCAGGCTTTCCTCGTAAATACATGTCTCATTCAGTGAGTGATCATTTTGCTGTTTTTTTTTTTTATTAATTTACAATTATCGTAAATCCTGAACTACGTATTGCCTTCGTACAAGAAGCAAGAGTTGGCAGTCCGGGAGTGATGTTCTAATAATGTATGAGCCACCACTCTTCGCTATCGTGAAAGCGAGGTAAACACGATCAAATCTTTTCAGTCAGTGTTGAGAATACATGGCCATTTTACTATATTTTATCCGAGTTATTCTTCTGATGTGCGTGCCTGAATGTTAACAATACTCACACATTCCACGGTAATGAGGCTACCCCTCACGATGTCCCTCGGACACGTGAAATCAAATGTGTTAAACATTGACGTTTCTCCATATTTTGATTAATCGTCATGCAGACGTAGCACTTATTCTTGACAATTACATTACTTTATTTCCATACTCTTCGAAATAATGAAAAGTGGCAACAAGTTCCAAGAATATATTTATTTTCATCGTGAGTGTTGCATGGGATTGCGGGAACTATCAGGAGGGAGGGAATTATCAAGGGAAAACGCCTGTTGTTGTTGTTGTTGTTTTAGATTTAGTTACTCAACGAAATGTCCATGTAGCACGGGCTATGGTGAGCCCGTAATTGAGTTTGGTTATTCGTGATAACCTTGTTACTCTGATATTTGGGTCGAAGTATTAAATGGAGGTGGGGTTTCCTCTTTTTTCCCTGTTTCTTTTTCGCTTCTGTTTTAGTATTGTTTTAATAACATTATCTTGGTGGTGGATGTAAGTGCAGAATGTTCACTAGTGAGTCCCATTCTTTAACGGCTTTTCTAATCATTGTAGTCGCTGTCGAATGTGCATCTAATGCAGCTGCTGTCGTTGGATTAATGTTTAGTTTGATGCGCAGGGCTTCAGTAGGTTCGCATTCCAGTAAGTAGTGCAATAGTGGCGTCTCTGCTTCTGTTCCACAGATATGACACTCTTTAACTATTGGGTTTATTACCTCTCATCAGCACTTGTAACCAAGTCTGAGTCTGTGTATGGCTACTGTAATGTCTCTGGATATCTTTTTGTCAGGCTTGAAAAGAGTACTACCCAGTGGCTTGTTCGTACCATATCGCAGTGGATGGGAAAGCGCCAAACC